CAGATAACAGTGGTTGGGGTTATGATTCCTCAGTTTTGTAATGATGAAAAGCAATGTGCACTCAGTAGAAACTGAACCTCTGATTTTGAATTTTTATTTTTTATTTTTTCTGATGCTAACACTGTATGGTACAATAAACTCTTCCCATGAAGCTACAAACACATGTGGTCAGAAGGGTAAACAACCGATCGATGTGTTGCAACATATTGTTATGTTGCTTAGCTATAATGCTCGATAGGTTAAGTGCTGCCCTAGTTAGCTTAATTGTCAACTTGACACAGCATAGAGTCATCTAGAGGAACGCCTCGACTGAAGAATTGTCTAGATCAGATTATCCTGTGGGAGCTTGTCTGTGGGGGTTGTCTCTATTATTTATTGATGAAGAACCCAAGCCATTGTGGTCATACCACCCCTAGGCAGGTATTTCTATGCTATATAAGAAAGCTCACTCACTAAGCCCAAGCCTGTGAGTGAGCCAGAAAGCACCATTTCTCCATGGTTCTACCTCAAGTTCTTGCTTGATTCCTGCCCTGGCTTCACTCAATGATATACGGTGGCCTGGAAGTGTCAACCAAACAAACCCTTTTGTCCCCTAAGTGGCTGTTTGTCATAGTGTTTGTCATAGCAACAGAGGGAAACTGGATCTGGCACACTTCTAGTCAGTGCTCTACTGGATATCCCAGCCAGAGCGCTTGTGTGAGTAAATGAAAACAGACATCCAGAAGGGCACAGAGGACGTGAAACTATTGCTATCTGCCGTGGTATGACCTTATATGTGGATACCCTAAAGAACAAAGGAGAATCCTGTTAGACTAAGAAATCAGTTTTTCAAGTTCATAGTATGTAAGATCAAAATAAAATGTCAGTTTTATTTTTATGAAACAGCCACAAACAACATTAAAGTGCAATCAAATAAACAATACCACTTATAATAATTCCCAAAAGGATAAAATAAAGATAACCTTTTAGTTATAGTGACATTTTATTGAGGTAAGCTCATCATAAATTAAAATGACCATAAATTGGGTGGGGATGAACCTGGCTTGGTTAGTTGTGACAGATCTACTCAGATACTCTACTTCTTCTTGAGTCAGTTTTCACAGTCTCACTAGTAACACATTCATTTCTTCTAAGTTCCTTGATGTTACTTATCACAGTTGTTTATAGTTTTTCCTTACAATAATTACTATTTCTGTAAAGCAAATGGTACAATTTCTTCTTCCATTCCTAATTTGGTCATTTGACTCTTCACTTGACTAGTCTATCTAAACATTGTTCATTTTGTTGATCTTTCCAAAGAACTAGTTATTGGCTTCATCTTCTCCAGTGTTCCAATAGGTTCTGGAAATTAATAAGTCGACCAAATACCTCAATAGTTGCACAACTTCCCTTTTCTCAACTGTAAGGTTGTGGAATATCATAAATAATTTAAAAACTGAAATTTGGTTCTAGTCATTGACTTGAGTTCTTAAGCAAAAAATTACTCTTATGAACCTCTATTTCCTAGGGTATAAAATTAAATAATGGTTGCATCTGTGATAGAGGGCTTGCCTAGCATGCATGTTCATTCTCTCAACATTGCCAAAATAAAAAATAAATAAACAAAAATCCACTTTACAATATAAATGGCCAACATGATGTCTGGAGATGTTAGAATTTCATGAGAAAGGGTTCAAAACATTTTGCGACCAAGTATCAGATATTTAGTAGACACCTAGAAGAGTGTTAGTTGCCTGATTATTAAATCACATGATGCCTAGAAAGGATTCTAATATATGCCATGTGCTATGTTAGGAACTGCTCTTTCATTCTCTTCAACGCAATACACACACCAACACAGACAAACACACACACACACACACACACACACACACACACACACACACACACCTAACTTTACTGTGGTGCTTGGGATGGAACCCAGATCATATTAGGAAAGTGCTGTATCACTGAGAAATACTCCTAGCTATTATTCATATATCTGATAAGAGACAACTGTAGTCAAGAACTTCTACAAAATAAGAGAGAAAACCTATCAAAAATAAGTAAAAACCTTTAATAAACACTTCACTATAAAAGCCACCCAACTAGTTAACGAATAAATGAAAATGAGCTTAATCACATTCTTTTTTTAAAAAATTATTTGATATGGCCGGGCGGTGGTGGCGCACGCCTTTAATCCCAGCACTCGGGAGGCAGAGCCAGGCGGATCTCTGAGTTCGAGGCCAGCCTGGGCTACCAAGTGAGTTCCAAGAAAGGCACAAAGCTACACAGAGAAACCCTGTCTCGAAAAACCAAAAAAAAAAAAAAAATTATTTGATATGTATGGGTGCTTTGCCTGCATGTTTGTCTGTGTACCATGTGTGTGCCTGGTACTCACAGAGGCCAGAAGAGGGCATTAGATTCCCTGGAACTGGAGTTATGAGCCACCATATGGGCGCTGGGAAATCAAACGTGGTTCCTCTAGAAGAGCAGCCAGTGCTCTTAACCACGGACCCATCTCTCCAGCTCTCTAATGTCTTTTTTTTTAACCAAGCAAATGAATATTAAAGCCATTTAAGATGCATACCCACCAGAATTCCTACAATTAAGGACCGACACCAGCAGCTGCTGAAGTAAAGTAAGCCAGCTGGAACTGTAAAACACTGTTAGACAAAGTGTCGCTTTGTTTAACCACTTTGGGAAAATTTCCAGCAGCTTCTAGCAAAGCTGAATACTGGGTTTCCTTGTAAATCAGCTCTATACCTAAGCAAGTACACTTGTCTACTAAGAGTCATCGAAAACACTGTTCATAGCAACGTTGCTCCTAACAGCCTCCAGCTAGAAACAACGTAAGTGTCCTTTAACAGGAAAACTGCATGCAGTGTGCTCTGTTCCCATGATGAAACAGTCCACTGCAATACAAAAGAGTACACACTGCTTGTATTATCAGGTTAGGCAACTCTCACACAGAGTGTGTTGAGTAAGCAAGCAGAAATGGTTTATGTTGAAATCCAAGTGTAGGGAAGACTCTGATCAAGGCAGACAGGCACCGGGGAATTATCTGCTCGTGGGTTTTAGTGAGATGCGTTTGTCTGAGTACTTAGCATTAGTAGCCAGCTAAGCCTTGGCTCAGAATTGGACTTCCTCTTACTCACTCGGCTTCGCACCTCGCCTTGATGCTTCCTAATTCTAAACTAGATGGGATCTCAACAAAATTAATCTGCTATTTTTCTCTTTGCCCTCTTACCTCCACCTTTCTCCCTACACTCCCTGCTCCTCCTTCTCTCCCTGTCTCTGGGAGCCCCTGCCCCAGCAAGGTGGTCATCACCAGGCTAAAACCACACAAAATTTGCATAATAAATAAATAATAAAAAAAATTTAAATCCTAGAACTGAAAGCCAAGCCTCGCCAGGTAAGAAAGGACCAGGACAAATACAAGGAGACACCAATTAGGGAGAGTTAGGAACTGAATAACCTTTATACAACTTTCATTTAGATTTGTTTAAATGATAGGAAAGAAGGGAGAGAGGGAAGGAATAAAGGAAGGAAGAAAGATAGATTAATTCTTTCTCTGGTTCATCCTCTCTACTCCCCCAGTTTGTTCTTATTAGTCACCCATAAGGTCAGAAGAACAGGCTATGTGCCACGTCACTTTTCAAGACACTATTAGTTGGCCAAATTGTGTAACTATCAAGAGTCTGAACTGAGAAGGCTTTGCGGCAAGCTTCTTCATAAACATGGAGAATGTCCCCTGGCTTTGTCTTTAAGTCACAAGTAGGTTCTTCTGCCTCTCCAGTTCTCCCACTATCCCAAAGTCCCCTCTCATTCTCCTTTCTTCTCTAGTTATAACTGTCCCCAATGGCCGCACACCCAGACATGCTCTCTTAAGCTATGGTTCACAGCTAACACTTTCCAAGAGTGACTGGAGAAAACAGCATGGCATGCCCCAGCAGGTCATCTCACTAACCACCTGTACCGGGAGGCTAACTCAGTCTTGGCCAACCCCTTAGCTTAGAGCCCCTCTAGTGCTTTCCTCTGTTCCTAGCATAGTTGTTGGGCAGCTGGTGACAGCCAGAAACTGATTCTTTAAGGGCACCTTTTGTCTTCCTGCCACTCAGGTCATTTGAGTGGCAAAACTCAAGGGGATAGAGTAACGTTGTACTGTAGACCCAGGTGTGAATTAGACGCGACTTATTTGGTAAGCAACAGACGTGATAGAAGACCCAGACCAGACCAACTACACATAAATGAATTATAACCACTGCTCCTCAACCTATAGCTTGTCCTTTCCCGTTTCTTAGTAGTGCTTTAAAAAAAAAACAAATTCAAAAGCCACTAGTTTTAGTGAAATAAAATTTATCAACATTTTCTTTCAGGGTTAGTGTTTTCATTCTTTAAGAACTCTTCACCCATCTCGAAGTCATGAAGATGCTGTCTTGTGTTCTCTCCAAGGAGTTTATTGTACTGCTTCCATAGTTCAGGTTGTTTTCTTTGTCTCTGGGATCAAACCCAAGACCTGGAGCATGTAAGCATGGCTCTGCTCCAGACCCTCACATTTGAATCTCAGGTCAGTGGTAAATTAATTCGTTTACATGGAGGACTTTCAATTTCCTATAAAGCTATCCACTTGATACAGCACACTTCATGGACAACTCTATCCTTTTGCACATGAATTGCCGGACTGCACAGTCAGAACCTGAGTAACTATATCATGTGTGAGTCCATCTCTGACCTGGGGAAATTCTACTACCGCCTTCATTGCTGAATGTTTATACTAATCTTAAACATTTTAATACACAATTTGTTTTAGAATTTTATAAGCTATTCTTGCAGGAGAAACAAAGCCAAAAATTAAATGCAGGTCTTATGGGGTATCGTGACCGTATTGTGAAGAAAACAAAAGCTTTTATCAAGAGAATGCAAACCTGAACACTTCCCACCACATAAGCCTACAAAATCTGCATGATCACATACGTTCAGTGTAGAAACCTGTCACCTCCACACTGAAAATGACATACCTGAGTAAGGTAGAGAGTATCTTTAAATTTGAGTAAGGGGTCTGTCCTTTGGGGGAATCTGAAGTGAAGTTGAGCCTGTTCAAGCATTTCATTGTTACCATTTACGTGATGCTGTCGGTGAAGGGAAAAGCGGCTAGTGTAAGACCAGTCCTCCTGAGATGAGACCTTGTGAATAAAATAAGAGTTACAGATCTTAGCAGTGAAACTTTTTGTACACATTCCTGACAGACCTGGAAAGTGCTCTACACATCAGAAAAGAACTTAAGGTTTGTTCTCTGGCATTAATTTCAGACATTAAAAAAAAAAATCATTCTCATTACTAGTAAAGGACCAGCAAGGAGGGATCCAATTTGGTAACCATGGTCTGCTTTCACATCTAGAAAGTAACATTTTAGCATTTCTTTTAAAAGCCTTGCCTAGCAAAACACAACTTTGTTTGTTAAAACACTTATTACTTCTATCTTTTCCTGTTGTTGACTTTTGGTTTTCTGAGATAGGACCCCATGTAGCACCTACACCCTCTAACATGTTAGGGTTATGCTGAGCAGAAATGATGCTGATCCTTCTGCCTCCCAAGTGCTGGGCTTACAAAAGCCAGTGTCAGCCAACTGGCTTCACTGTGTGTATCTTGCAACGCTGTTTCCTTTATTTAGGTAAATTTTGTTATTAGGTTTTTAGAATTGAATAATGGGCTACAATTGATATTCTGTTTAAAATGTCATAGTTTTAAATAAGTCAAATAATGGTATTACAATAGCAAATGTTTTAGAATTTGTTTATATTTCTTATCTGAGAACTACCTAGGCCAACAGTTTTCAACCTATGAGTTGTGACCACTTTGGGGGGGTCGAATGACCCTTTTCTCGGGGTTGACTAAGACCATCAGAAAACATCGATATTTACATTACAGTTCATAACAGCAGCAAAATTACAGTTATGGCGTAGCAACAAAGTAATTTTATGGTTGGGAGTCACCACAATGTGAGGAACTGTATTAAAGCGTAACAGCTGGGGCTGGAGAGATGGCTCAGTGGTTTAGAGCACACTGGCTGTTCTTCCAGAGGTCCGGAGTTCAATTCCCAGCAATTACATGGTGGCTCACAACCTCCTGTAATGAGATCTGGCGCCCTCTTCTGGCCTGCAGTCATACTTGCAGGCAGAACACTATGCATAATAAATAAATATTTTTTAAAAAGGGGGGTCACAGCATATACATTTCTCAAAGGAAGATATACAAATTGCAATACGCATGTAAAGAAATACTTAGAATAATCAGTCATCAAAGAAATGCAAATTTTCTATAAAACTATATTTCCATAAAAATGTTTTTTAAATTGAAAAAAGTGTTGGAAAGGATGCAGAAAAGGCGGGGAGGAAAGCTAACCTCTCGGTGCAGTCACTGCAGAAAACAAGTCTGAGCATTCAAAGTGCGTCATTTAATGATTCAGCAGCTGCACTCATAGGGTCCCACCCAGGAGGTCTGAAAACGCTCATTCAGAACCAGGCACACTAATGTTCACAACAGCTTTCTTCATGATAGCCAAGAGCTGGAAATAGCATAACTGTCCATCCACAGACAAGTGGGTCAGCAAAGTGGAAAATACATCCAATAGAACATAATCAGCAATAAGGAGTAATGACCTTCTAATGCAACATGTTAAGTGGAGCCAGTTTCATAACACCATAAATGTATTCTTCTAATCACACTAATTGTGAACAACACATAAACCTATGGACAGACACAGAGGAGTGGTGCTTAGGGCTGGGGGGAGGGGCAGAAGAGAGTAGAGAATGACTGCTAAGGGGATCAGAAGCTCTCTCTCTCTCTCTCTCTCTCTCTCTCTCTCTCTCTCTCTCTTTCTATCTTTCTTTTTGGTTTTTTGAGACAGAGTTACTCTGTGTAGCCTTGGCTATCCTTGAACTCACTTTGTAGACCAGGCTGCCCTCAGACTCACAGAAATCCATCTGCCTCTGCCTCCTGAGTGCTGGGATTGAAGGCGTGTGCCACTGAGTGATGAAATGTTCTGTGGGGATGGCTGTACAAGTTTGCAAGTACACTGGGGACCGACCGAGTTGTGCATATTAAGTAAGCAAATTCTTTACTAAGAGAACTGCATCTCGTTAAGGGTGTTTTGAAAAGAACACACACAACTCTGAAATCAAATCTTTGGGTATAGAGTGTATATCCATGCTAAAAACCAGATATATTAACAGGAAGAAAAAGCAGCAAGAGAGACAGAAGACAGACATGAGGGAGGAGGAGGAGGAGGAGGAGGAGGAGGAGGAGGAGGAGGAGGAGGAGGGAGAAAATAAAACTTGGAAAACACAGATCAGAACTTGCTTACTCTGTTCAACTCTTCTAACATGATTGGGTATCCAGTTCTGAATAGCTAGAAATGATTAGACCGTATAGAAAGTATCAACTCAGGGTCAGCAGGATAGCCCAGCTGGAAAGGCACTTGCTGCTCAGCCTGACAGTTGGACACCCAGACATCCCATGGTAGAAAGAGAACCAGTTCCTACGAGTTGTCCTCTGACCACCACACTCGTGCGGCAAGAGTAAATGCCTATAGTAAATAAATAAATAAATGTCTTTATCAACTAGAGTTCTTTTCGTGCACAATTAATTTAAGTCAAGCTTAAGCTTCCATGGGCTTCTTTCAAGTGTTCCTGAAGGCACACAACTAAAAACATACTGGAAAGTCATCCAGTCAAAATGGCAATATTAATATTTTAGCTCCCCAGATGTTAAAGAAGAGTTCTTTTCTTCCATCCTCTTCCTGAACTGTCAATTAAATAAGAAGTTGCTCTCATCTGACTCTCTGCACCCACTGTCTACTGGTGTAAATCATAGGAAAATTGAGAATGGCTTACCTTTTCTAGTGTGCTAAAGGAAGGCCATGACTGGTAGCCATATTCGGATACAAATCGAGCTTTTGGGAAGATCTTCCAATCCCAGCAGTCACTGACATAGTCATAAAAATGTACGTCACCATAAAGGCTGCTGTAAGGGTCTTCAGAGATCCCACCTTCTTCCATGGTTTTGACCCCATTGGTGGGGCTGGACACAATAAAAGGACGGGTCTTGTCTTCCTGGACACAGAAATAAAATGATTTTAAGGATAATATGTTGATTTGGTAAGTTATAAACCATTAACTTCTTTTTTAAAAAAATATCATAAATTCCTAGAAATGCCAAAGAGCTGAGAGAACGTCAACAGGGTGGTCACCATTCTCCCTGTCAACACTGCCCTGCTCATCTTTGTTCTTCTCCCCTTACAAGCACCAGAGACCATGCCTCGTGGCACCTCTTCCCAGTGTTTTCAACCATGGTTTGCCTCTTTTCCTACCCCACAGGCAGTGTGGCATGCCATGCAGTTTCTCAGCTTTGGTACTCCTGACATTTGGGTTAATATTGGATATGGACATGAGTGGGAGGAGTCTCTTGTCACAAGAGACATTTAATAACACCTCTAGCCTATAACACCTGCTAGATGTCATGAGTCCCCTTCACCTAAAGTGTCTTCAGTTGTGACAAATTTTCTCTAGGAACAAAATTGCTGCATTTCAGGAACCCAGGTTAAGAACAAAAGCTATTGAGTCAAATGTACTTGGGTTTAAAACTCAACTCAGAATCTTCCTGGTTTGGGGCAGGTCTTAGCTTTGGGAGTTTTATCTATAAAATGAAGGAAATTCAAGGTCATGATCTTAGATGCTCATTTAGAGGAAGATGAACCACTAGGAACTAATCATAATAATTATGACTTGATGGAAACAACAACAGCAATTACTGCATAGCATTTAACGCTATCCATCTTCAAGGAAATCTGTAAACATCATCAGGACCTAGAATGAAGTCATTTGTGAACTTTGAGACAAAGAACCATAAGAGCTCCTAAGAGTCAGTCCCCCTTTCTAACTCAATTTTATAAGTGGAAAAGAGGATATTAAGCAAATTGCCAAAGATTACATAGACAGAATTGTGAATCGTAGGCACGTCATCACTATACTGCTAAATAAAAATCCCCAAACAGTAAAATCAATTTCTTGCATTGATCAGATATGAAAAATAAGTACTCTTAACTGGTAAGCCATTTCTCCAATACCCACATTGTGGCTCACAACCACCTGTAACTCTAGTCCCAGGGGATCCAATGCCCTCCACAGGCACCAGCCATACACATGGCACACATGTATACATGCAAGCAAATACTCATAAAATAAAAATAAATAAATCTTTTAAATATACACACTTAAAATCACTGATTAGGCATACGTAGATGTTACTTATCACATACTGTTTTTAAAAATACATTCCTTTTACAAATTGCTTCAGAATATATCAAATCTATGATTACAGACACAAAATAGTAAAGATGGCCAAATTATTAAATTACTTAGTAAATATTAGAGTTTTTAGAACAATCTTTAGAAATGGTCACTGAAAAAAATACTACCTTCCTCTCAGCACAAAAGAAAGGCCAATGTATATTAGCACATACTGTTCAGCATGCCTAGTTCACAGTAGTGACACAAAGAGAACTACCATAGAAGAAGGTCTCAGAATCCACTGGCAACAAGAACTGCCTTATTCCCATGACCCTCATACAATAGACCAAGATGTTCATATGTGATACACATCAAAATATACATCAGCACATACAAGTACACATATTCAGTTACAGACCTGTAGAGGTGGCATACCATAAAAGCATCTAACCCACAGACTCAGTAAACAGTTGAGGATCTATGCATGAACTCTAGAGTGTGTGATAACCTGCAACAGTAAGTACTAATACATGTGGAGAATCCCAAAGACAGTTTATCTTCCAAGAAATCCATACATAATCCATGTACAGGTTCATATGCTAGAGAATTATAATGAAATATTCTGAATTAAAATGATGTTCCAAAGACTTCCTTAAAAGAGGCCCTCTACTACACCAATATTGAGACCTATGCATCTTAAAAACACCTCCTTAAATTCTACTGCACCAAAACCATCACTTACTGATAAAACAATCTCTCTGATGTTTCTCACATAAAGGGTCACATAGTCTCTAATGTAGGTTTTCAAGTCATGGTGCTTAATATGAAACCAGTTGATACTCAGTGCCACTTCATTCTCATTATTACCACTCCATATGATGATTGAGGGGTGAGATTTGAGCCTCCTGATCTGAAATTTAAGAAAACATAAAATAATTCCCCATACTCAACATAAAAGAACTCAGAGCTATAATGATTAATAAAATTACAATCATTGCATTTCCACATAGAAATTCTTGCCTACCTGATAATTCACAAAATGGCTACTCATGCACTATGGAAATTCAATTTTAATAGTTCTCTGAAAGACAGGGAGAGGTTTTTCTGAGTGCTGCAAGATATTTGATGACACTGTGTAAAGACATGTCATTGTGATTGGTTTAATAAAAAGCTAAATGTCCAATAGCTAGGCAGGAGGTATAGGTGGGACTTCTGGACAGAGAGAGCTCTGGGAAGAAGAAAGGGGGAGTCACCAGCCAGACGCAGAGGAAGCAGGACATGAAGACAGAGAGGTAAAGCCATGAGCCACATGGAAGCACATAGATTAATATAAATGGGTTAATTTAAGCTATAAGAGCTAGTTAGAAATAAGCCTAAGCTAATGCCAAGCTCTCATAATTAATAAGAAGTCTCGGGGCTGGAGAGATGGCTCAGAGGTTAAGAGCACTGACTGCTCTTCCAGAGGTCCTCAGGGTTAACCCTGAGTCTAATTCCCAGCAACCACATGGTGGCTCACAACCATCTATAATGAGATCTGGTGCCCTCTTCTGGCCTGTAGGTGTACATGCAAGCAGAACACTGTATGCATAATAAATAAACCTTAAAAAAAAGTCTCTGTGTTGTTATTTGGGAGTTGACTGGTGGGTCAGAGAAAAAAACTCTTTACATATGGTACCCAATGACAGTCATAAATTCCCACATAGGACCTGAAAAGGTTAAAAAAAAAAAAGCTTCCAAACACATAAACACAGAGCCAGACATGGCTTCCTAGTCCTGCAGTCTCTGAGGCAGCCTGCAGCATATAGACACCCGGCTCCCAGCTGCTACCTGATAATTGTTCTTATTGCATATAGTTTTACTATATTAGAGTTAAAACCCTTTCCTTTTTATTTAGACAAAAAGGGGAAATGTTATGAGATATTTGATTACACTGTGTAAAGACATGTCATTGTGATTGGTTTAATAAAAAGCTAAATGTCCAATAGCTAGGCAGGAGGTATAGGTGGGACTTCCAGACAGAGAGAGCTCTGGGAATAAGAAAGGGGGAGTCACCAGCCAGATAAAGAAAAAGCAGGACATGTAGGAGGAGAGGTAAAAGCCACAAGCCATGTGGCAGCACATAGATTAATATAAATGGGTTAATTTAAGTTATAAGAGCTACCTAGAAACAAGCCTAAGCTAAGGCTGAACTTTTGTAAATTAATAAGAAGTCTCTGTGCCATTATTTGGGAGCTGGCTGGTGGAACAGAGAAAGACTCATTACACTTGAGTTCTATCCCCAGCACCCATGTCAAAAACTGGGCAGGGTGGAGCACATTTGTAATTGTGGTGCTGGGGAGGCAGAGCCAGGAGAATCTCAGGGCTCACTGACTGGTCAGCCTGTCCTAATCCATGATTTCCAGGTCCCAGTGAGTGTAATAAACAAACAAACAAATAAATAAATAAGCACATAAAATCATTGAGTAGGCAGATTTGGAATGTAAAACAATTCATGGATTCAAGGGTCACATTAAATCTTTGTCCTGAGCTAGAGTAGTGTTCATTTGCTAGGAAAACTACAGGAGCAGCAGGGCTGGGGAAGTGATCAGTGTGTGGCTTGGACACGTTACACTAATGCCCATTAAAACTCTGACCACACCACCAAGCGGGCAGCTGGTTACTGCACCAAGGGACTCAACAGAGACTGGAGGATGGGGCATAAATGTGGGTGTTGCCAGCAAGCAGGTGATATTACAGCCACGACACTGGTGAATCACTCAGGAAATCAGTTACCAGACTGCAATTTTTCATAGGATTTAGTTGAAACAACAAAAAGAAATGAGCGATTTAACAAAAGGAAAAACTAAGATGCATGTTTTCTCCTCTTGAAGGTATAATAATAGCATACCTGGTAAGCAGCTTCGGCTCTCACTAACGCCACGAAGCTCTTCTCAGCTGGATAAAGGGCACTGGCAAACATGAAGTCCTGCCATACCTATCAAACAAAACAAAGGCAGTGTCATCGCACAGAAAGCAAGACTTCGTGTTCTCTTAGGGGGTTATCTTTCACATAAAGGAAAAGCAAGTTCTTCTGCAAACGCACCCACCTGAATGCCTCTTTACACTGTGCCCACACACTGAAGGACTTCCCAGCATCACACAAAAAATGTTTAGAAACCTGAGAGAATGCTGAACAGGCAGGAAGGAAAGAGGATTCAGAAAAGGAACTATAATGAGAGAGTGGGGAAAATGAAGCTTTAGGCTTTCCTCGTCTCCCTATTCTTTCCCATTTCACCAGGCATTGAGTGGCAAGACACACACCAGACCACTAAAAGTGTAGTTTGTTTAGAAAGGATTTAACTTCTTTTGCAGACAGAAAGATTACTAGATGCCCGCTTTAATAATGAGACCATGAAGTCCTTTCCTAGGAGGCCTGTGTGGAGTGGCTGAACACAGCAAAGCCCCCAAGCAGTCTGCCTTCCTGCCAGTATGGATTCTACCACACACAGATAGTGAACTATTGGGCAAGGTATACACCTCTTCATGGGTCACTTTTAAGCTCTGTAAATGGGACAGAGAACAAGAGTTACTATGTCATGAAGGCATGAAAAAAATAATAAAAACAAACTAAAAAGTGAGAAAAATAGCACTGATAAAAATGCCTGCCATTCAATGAACAGTATAGTATGTGGTTGCCATCATGCCTATAATTGTTGCTGTGATTCCAACTCTCCTCTGGTACTCTGTATATCTGATAACTGTATTTCTGAATCTGAAAATATATACAATTGACCCTCAATATCCATGAGTTTGTGTCCAAAGATTCAACTATGGGTCAAAAAAATATACAGAAAAAATCCCCCAAAATCATATATACCAAACATGCACAGATTCTTCTTCTTGTCATTAGTCCTTAAATAGTAAGTATGGCAACTATTTATATCATATTCACAGGGCTGGAGAGATAGCTCAGGGGTTAAGCTCGCTTGCTACTCTCACAGGGAACTCATGTTCAGTTCCCAGCACCCACATGGCAGCTTATACCCACCTTTAACTGCAGGTCCAGGAAATCTGACTCCCTCATCTAACCTCCAAGGGCACCAAGCATGCACATGACATACATACACACGTAAGCATTCATATATACAGTGTATATGTGTGTGTGTGTGTGTGTGTGTGTGTGTGTGTGTGTGTGTGTGTTTAATGTATCATGTTCTGTGAAGTACTGTAAGTGATCCAATAATAAGATAAGGCATATGGAAGGATGTGGGTGGCTTGGTGTGAGCATTCCATTTCTTTATGTGAGATGACTGAGTATCTAGGGCTGCATGCCCACAGGGCTCCTGAACTCAGTTCTCCAGAGATGTTAAAGGACAGAGGTATCTCCTTGCTTAGTCCTCCTCAAAGTAAAACTTGCATAAGTAAAACTCAAAAGAAAACATCTTTTTCTTGGTTAACTTTATTATTTTTGTTTCTCTTCAGAGTTCATCAGAGCTCTTTAAGTTATTTAACATTTTATTTTATTTTATTATGTATAGCTACATATCACAAGAAAAATTATGAAGGAAATGTAGATCTACATCTGATTAGATTATAATTCATATACAATAGCTATTATTTTTAAATAGTAGAAAATTCTGGTATTTGTTAGCAACTATAGTTCATTTATCCCTTGGCCAAAATTAATAAATAAGTAAACATAGATAATAAGGAATAAGGAACCCACAAATAAGGAACATGACTCCCTGTTCTGAGCAAAGTATTAAAGGGCAATATCAACTCACAACATCAGAGTGAGGGATGAGTCACCTATGGATACATCGAGACTGTATCACATACTCACCATTATTCCAAGTTCATCGCAGAGTTCATAGAATTCATCCTGCTCATAAATACCTCCTCCCCAGACCCGCAGCGCATTCATGTTAGCATCCACAACAGACCGCAAAAGGAGGTGCAACCTGTAGAAGGAATTGCAAAAGTAAATACTAATTCAGAAATTGGGGAACATTACAAAATATTTCAATCTGTTAAAGGAAAAATCCACTTTAAAATCAAAATGATTTTGTTCTCATTAATACCAAAAACTTAGGTAAAATAACAAAGAGACTAGTTGTGACCACATTAAGCAAACAAACTGAAAAAAAAGCTATGCATGATTTCTTCATTATGTAAGTTGTCAGTAACCTTATACTATTTCTTAAATTATTTTTTGTTTTATATTTTGACATGTAGAAAAATGCAGTGTGGGGCCGGGGAAATGGCTTAGAAAGTAAAGTATTTGACCCACAAACATGAGGACCTGGATTTGAGTCCAAACACTCATCTAAGCAGCGGGATGGGCAGGCACATGCCTGAAATCTAGCCAATCAGTAAGCTCCAGGTTCAGTGAAAGACTGTCTCAAAGAGTAGGGAGGAAAGAGATGAGTGAGAACATCAACCTCTAGCCGCCACATGCATGCACATCCCCTGAACACGTACACACATACACACACAAAGGAAAAAGGACAGTATAAACACTCCATACACAGAAAAGTATATTAACTTTTAAGTTCCATTTTCAAAACCTTCAAAAAACACTTGTAGTTATCTTCCAGATAAAGAACTTCCATGTTTTTGTTTTGTTTTATAAGTTTTATTGTGTGTATATATGTATGTGTGTGTGTGTGTATATATATATATATATATATATATATATATATATATATATATATATATATAATTGTGTGTGTGTTTAAGGTATATGGCATGGTGTTGTAGGATAGTTATTGATGGTAAAAGGTTACTATTGAAGTGAATTAACAGAGCCATCATTTTGAATTATCTATCTCCCCTTGGTTTTGTCCATCAGAAAATTTTGTTACCCAGAATCCTCATGTCTTCACATTGTCCTCTGGTCTTCAGACTTGTTCTCCAGACAGACAGACTACTTTCTGTGCTCTTATATTTTTACATTTTCCCCTCACACCAAGAATTTTTTTAGTTCTTTAGTGAAGTAGAAAAAGGATTGGTGAGATGGGTAAAGTGTTTGCTGTACAAGCATAAGGATCTAAGTTCGAATCCCCAGCACCACACAAAGCTGGGTTGTTCTACAGCACACAACTGTAGAACATTCCAGGGCTCCTATGACAAGATGAGAGGTGAAAACAGAATCCCCAGAAGCTCTTGGACCAGACAGCTTGTCACATACAGTGGTGAACGATGTAAAAACCCTCTCAGGTAAGATGGATGGTAAGGACTGACACCCAAGGTTGTCCTCTGTGTTAGGTAGTTCTATGTCAACTTGACTCAAGCTACAGTTATCAGAGAGGAGGGAGCCTCGGTTAAGAAGATGCCTCCATAAGGTAGGAGGCTGTAGGACATTTTCTTAACTAGTGATGAATGGGGGAGGGCCCAGACCACAGTGGGTGGTGCCATCCCTAGGCTGGTGGTCCTGGGTGCTGTAAGAAAGCAGGCTGAGCAAGCCATAGAGAGTAAGCCAGTAAGCAGCACTCCTCTGTGACCTTTGCACCAGCTCCTGCCTCCAGGTTCCTGGCCTGTTTGAGGTCTGGTGCTGACTTCCTTCAGTGATGAACAGTGATGTGAAAATGTAATTCAAATAAACTCTTTCCTCTCCATATTGTTCTTGGTCATGGTGTTTTGCCACAGCAATAAAAACCCTAACTAAGACATCCTCTCACTTCCACAGGCATGTGGCATGATGTGAGCCTACACATACACATGAGCACAACCCCCCCAACACACACACACACACACACACACACACACACACACACACACACACACATCATACATACAAAAGAAGTTTTTTTCAAGTAAAATACCTTAGCATAAAAAGTAAATGTAGGCCCTTATCCCTTAAAACCATGCTCAAAATTATTTAATGTATTCTTTGAAAAGCAACAACAAGCTGGATTTAAATTTTTTGAGACTAATTGGTTCAAATATCAACTTGTTGCTTTCTTTTTTTTCTCCAGAGAAAACATATAGTAATAGTTTTGTAAGAAGTGAATAGGATGCCTTTAACAGTCTCAGACCAGCTAGCTGTAAAACCGTATCTCAAGAGGGAGAACAAATGATTGAAAACAATCTTGTCTATCCTGAAATCTCCATCATGCTATCATTCTGCATTAGCCTCGGCTCCTTCTGCCCAGAGTGAAAGAAACAGATGTGAGGAACTTTGAACTTGGAGCTTAGTGGCATTGCAGAGAGGTGGGGGAAGGATGGGCAAAGAAGCCACCACTCACAGTTCGGAAGTAACTTTATCCTGGAATGAGTCAGCTGGGATCCAGTTTGAGCCTTTCAAAAATATAGGAAGTCCATTAATTTTGAAGTAGAAACTCCGGCCAGAAGACCCTTCTATGGGCTCTTCTATAAGTTGCACTGTCCTGAAATAAACCTGCCGTGAAAAGAAATAAATATTGAATGTCAACTTAGAAGTGTAAGCAAACTGGTTCTTTAAAAAGGAAAGTGCGGGGTTGGGAAGATGGCTCACAAGCACAAGGACCCGAGTTCAGATCCCCAGCACCCAGCTAAACATGACTACACACTCCTATAGGCCCCACCTAGAATTGAAGTAAAACTGAGACAGCATTTGCCTCCGTCCCTCTCACTACCTGGAAAGATAGCGGTACTTTCCAGAGACATGTGATGTATAATGACATCATCAACAGCAGATAATAGACTCAGTTTGCGTGTTCTGAATGATCTACTTCTAAAGTAGAGGCTGGAAGAACTAAAAAGTATTTTTGTTGTTATTGTTGGTGGTGGTTTCTTGTTTATTTGTCTGGTTGATTTGGTTGGTTGATTGGTTTTTCAAGACAGGGTCTCACTATGTAGCTCTGGCTCGCCTGGAATTCACTCTTGTAGACCAGGCTGGCCCCAAATTCACAGAGAGTGACTCAAACTCACAAAGAGCCACTAACCTGTGCCCCTTAATGCTGGGATTAAAGGTATGCTCCACCATTCTTGGCTGAAAAAGTAGAATTTTAATAGACTAGTTTAGGCGGGGCCTGGGGGCATGCACCTTATTCCTTGTGCTCTGGAGGCAGAGGCAGGCAGATCTCTGTGAGTTTGAAGCCAGCCTGGTGAATTCTAGCCCAGGCAGAGCTACACAGTGAAAACTTATTTCATAAAGAAATAAAAATAAAAGATTAATTTATAGGCTGGGAATGGACTGTACACTATAATCTGCTTTCAGGAGGGAGAGATAGGAGGAAAAATGTTCAAGACTAGCCTGGAATATATAGTGAGACCCTGTGTCAAAAAACAAAACAAAACAAAAGACTCAGTTTGTTCTCTACAGTTTTCCTGAGAACCTACGAGCTTGTCATTGGCCATCTACTCTGAACACTGTAACCTCACAACTGTTCAATACATCCTTACTTTGAACCCTAATGTCTTCCCAGCAACCTACCCAAAAACATAAAGCTAAGTTATATTCATTAATTTGATTCACAGTGATACCTGATATTTTAAATTTAAATTAATTTTTAATCATAATCAAATTTGCTTTAGAGTTAAGTAATATTTTAGTTCATTGTAAAAGGACATTTATAAAAAAATTTTCCTACTCTAAGGATGAATTGCAAAAATGTGATTGGAAGACTTAAATTCTCAGGCTCTGGATGTGGCGCCACTGAAAGCCTGCCTGCCTAGTGTGCAGAAGCCCTGGGTTGGATTCCTGTGTCTCATAAAGCTAGGTGTGGTGGCGCACATCTATGATTCCAGAACTCAGGCGCTGGAAGCAGTGGGAACAACAGTTATAGGTCACCCTAATCTGTGCACCAAGTTTGAAACCAGACTGGGCTACAAGCAACTTATTCTAAAGAAAGGAACACTTCAATTCTCAATCTACAGCTGCATAGCCTACACCTAAAAATGCTGAAACTTAAAAATGACAAATAAGAGGCACCGGGTATAACTATAAATAAGAAATGGAATTTTGATAAAAAGGCATCTTTCCCTTGATTTTTCAGGAGTCAATAATTTATTATACCTAATGCAAATGTAACATCTTTTAAAAAATATTTATGGGGTATTCTTCCTTTGGGTGCTCTTTCTCAGTTTTCCTTTATAAATCTACTTTCAGTATAAATAAGTAGGTAGATACTTTCACTATAAATAAGTAAGTAGATAGACAGGTAGGTAGATAGGTAGGTAGGGAGATAGATAGATAGATAGACAGACAGACAGACAGACAGACAGATAGATAGATAGATAGATAGATAAACAGACAGACAGACAGAATGTTTGTAGGGGCTAGGGAGATGGCTCAGTGGGTTATGTGCTTGTCATGAAGATCTGAACTTGGAGGATCCCCAGCATCTATGTCAAGAAAATCAGTATGGCAGTGCACCCCTGTAATCCCAGCATGTGTCTATAATCCTAGCACTGGGAAAGCAGAGACAGAAGGATCCCTAGGACTGACTGGCCAGCTAATTTTGACAAATCATTGAGCTCTAGGTTTAGCGAGAGACTTAGTCTGAAAGAGATCGATAGAGCAAGACTTCATACATCACACACGCACAAAAATATTATGGTACAGTTGTGTTGTTCTATGACCAATTATTCATGGTATAAAGAAAAAGAAATCAAATATTTTAAACATAGACATAATAAGCCCTTTAAAAGTCAAGGATTGATGAACCAAGAATGCATCAAAATTTTCACAGTGTGGACATGATGCACTGGCTGGAGAAGTGTATATATTAGCTGAGAAACAAGCAAGCAGTCGGTATTGCTGTATGCCTACAGGAAGAAACAATAGTGAATGGAATCTCACCACCTCCCTCTTGGCAATACACAATAACCTAGATAATTAAAAGATTTAGCTGCAAGAGACAGGATGGGTTGCAGGCTATCTGAAGGTACTTTGCTTTACAAATGGGTGACTCTCTAGGCGTTGATAGGCCTGCTATTTTGTTATATTCCCTTGTTATCAGCTTAATATATCAAGGACAATCTACTATGTAAATTTTGGGCACCAAAATATAGGAAGTATTGAACTATTCAAAGCACAAGATGATTTTTGATCCTCAGGGTAACCATGTAAATTCTGTGCTAACATCTGCACAGATGTTACAGCAGCAGAGGTAGGTGACATGGCAACTGCATTAGTAGGAGTCATGGCAGTACCTCCAAACTGGCCGAGAGTCACTGCTTCCTTCATCTTCACCCATTAACAAGAAAAGAAATGACAATCTCACATGAGAAAATCCTTGGCAAACAGAATATTTTAATTTTTATAAACCCTTGTGGTAGTTTGAAGAAGAATGGTCCCCATAGGCTCATGTATTTGAAGGCTTAGTCCCTAGTTGGTAGAACTGTTTGGGAAGGATTGGGAAGTGTGGCCTTGTTGGAGGAGGTATGTTACCGGGAGTAGACTTTGAGGTTTCAAAAGCCCATGCCAAATCTGTTCTCTCTCTGCTCCAGTGCCATGCCAGGCTGCATGCTATCCCCCATCATGATGGTCATGGACTAACATTTGAAACTGCAAGCAAGCCCCAACTAAATGCTGTAGCTGAAGTTTTCCTGGTTCTGCCCAGCTACCTCAGTCAATAGAACATGAGATTCTTAATCTCAGGGTCATGGGCTCGAGCCCCACATTGGGCGCCATTTGTTGTTGAAGTTTTTCTGTGTCCCACTGGGCCCATGGTCAGGACAAATCTCTCTCACTCACCAGTCCTGCAGCTGCTTGGACCCAAGTAAACACACAGAGGCTTATATTAATTAAAACTGCTCAGCCATTAGCTCAGGCTAACTATTGACTAGCTCTTAAATTAAATTAACCCATATTTTTTATTTATGTTTAGCTATGTGGCTTGGTACCTTTTTTCAGTTCTGTCTTCACACCTTGCTTCCTCTGTGTCTGGCTGGCAACTCCTGACTCTTCCCAGAATTCTCTTCTCTGCCTGTCCCGCCTATACTTTCTGCCTGGCTACTGGCCAATCAGCATTTTATTTATTAACCAATCGGAGCAACACATTCACAGCATACAGAGCGATATCCACTTTCTTTTATAAGTTGCATTGTCATGATTTCTCTTCCCAACAAAAGAAACGTAGCTAAGATAACCCCCAAAGCTGAGTACATGTAATCATTTCAATATTCATAAGACAAAATGGAAAATACCCATAGAGCATCAAGTTGATAATGTCTTAAGGGGAGAGGAGCTAAGTCAACCACCATTTGAGCTGTGAGCTGAGTCAGCCATTTTGCTCAGGAAGTACCATGTTTATTTACATGAACAGTTGACCAACAACCACAGTTGTTGGACTTGAGGACATTTTCTTGAAAGTGAATTAAATATTCACTGACAGTATTTAAGGCCAATAATAAAATTCAAGAAAAATAAAAACAAGGCTTAAGAAAACTTGTGCCCACCACATTGAGCTTGAACGCATTCAGTATTTGAAAAACATCTCAGATGACGTCAGTAGAAACACCAAGAATGTGAATGTGTACCACAGGTTGAAATATTTCAACACTGAAAAGATTCATAACCCTCCAGAAAGCAGTATTTTTCAAATAGCCCATGCAGTGTATTACAGTATCACACATGGGAGACTCTGTTATAAGCAAAGGGCAGGGTTCTAAAGAATGCATTGAAACATCTTGAATTCACAGTCCAACTAACTTTAAGAAACTAACTCTTGTTGGTTTTACTTTTTTAAATAGCTGCCTTTAAAATTTTTAATTATGTGTCTGGTGGGGAGCGGTATCTGTAAATGAGTACAAGTGCCCATAGAGGCCAGATGAGATCATGAGATCCCCTGGAGCCATCGATAGGGTGCTAGAAACCAAGCCAGGGTCTCGTCTCCCATCCCCAGAAACGAGCACTTACTAAACCTTAGTGTAATATGAAGAATATCTACAATTATCTGAAAAGACTACTAACATCCTCTCTTCCTTTCCAGCTAAATATAAATGATATATACGGTGCATATTATCCCTGTGAGGTCAGAATTTCCTCACATGTTCTGAAGCAACACTGCAAATTGACTGTACATAGATGTAATGACAGCCTCATTCTCCTCATTAGAATATTAAAGAGATTTGCAAACATGAAAAAAACATATTATTATTCACCCCCAATTTTTTATTTCCTAACTATGCTTTTTTTTTTTTTTAAATTGGGAAAGCTTCCCATTAATGAAATTTTATTCCACTTGACATCAGATGTATAAAACAGGATATTTGCCATTCAAGACAGGAGAAAGAGAAAATGGCACCTTGATATAGTGACAAGTCTCACCGGGCTTTGTCAGAATTTAAAGCATACCCCCCTAGGAAAGCTACTATGCATAAAGCCAAGCAAGGTATAAAACAACATTTTAGCAAGCAGTATTGTGTATAGAGGCAACGAGAGAATGCAGTTTGAATGGCATTAAAGGAATGATTACATTACATACAGTATGAAATGCACACTATGGAATGCAATACAGGCATTGAAAGGACTGTCGAAAGGAATATTGTTGAGAAAAACGAACCTATATAAAAATATCTCCTTAGAAACATATGCATGATTACATTTGTACAGGACATTGAGATTGAGGGGCAAATTCTTTTTAAAAGTTAACTTTAATTTTAAACATCCTATTTTCCAAGCCAATTGAGAACAAATAAATAATTACACAAGAAAACTGGGTTTCAGACTTGAAAGTCCATAGCTCAAGAGACAGTGGTGAAGGGCATCAACCACCTGAAGTAGAAACCGGAAGGACAGATGGACGGACAAGCTGGGAGATCTGCAGTCCAAACCAGAGCGAGGCAGAGGACTTTGCAGGACAACTTAGGGTAGGTCGGAACCCATAAAGTGAAGGAAGTATATGAACAAAAAGGCTACAGTTATATACATTAGTTGGATCCCACTATACTAAAAGCAGTTTTTAAAATATTCCTACGTGTTTCAGACAACTTCTGTTATCCTAGAGTCAGAATCGACCACATTCAAATGAGGTAAGCTTTGAAAGTAAAAACGTCAACCTTTATTGAAGAGCAAGTAAACACTGTATACTATGTACACGTGGCACATGGTGCCAATTTGCAGATGTAGTAGTCCACTTGAGTTATGCCTTTGTCACGGCCTTGGACAAATTTTGAACTAGTGTACAATTCACCTGTGCCAGAGTGCTGATCTTAGCATGCTTGGATGCTGCATACTTATTCTTGATAGTCATGTGCTTTGTAAGGCCACGGTTCACCATGACGACATTCTTAGCCAGGTGCTGCATAACAGGCAGAAGGGATTCCTCAGTGTAGGATAGGTAGTGCTGAAGAGTTGGTGTCCATTCACCATTGTCGAGAATTTTCAGTGCTAAGCAGAAAGCTCCAGCTGCAACTTGCGAAGAAGCAAAGTGCACCATGTCGTAGTCCAGCATAGTGAGCTCCATGAGGTATTTGGCCAAAGTATGCTGTTCAACGTCAACCTCTCCAATTTTAGACGCTCTACGGAGGAAGTGCAGAGGCAGAGGGCGACCCAAACTGAAGTTTAGAACTCTAAGAATCTTCATTTCCATCTGTCTGATTTGGTGCTTAGTGTAAGTATTGTTAGTCACAAAAGCGAAGTCACCTATTTCTGGAGGGTACATTTCTTCATATTTGCTGGCAATAAACATGGCAGTCACACCAACCAGCTGCAGCATCTTCTTGGGTACACAATTATCCTGCATGAAGCAGTCAATAATGGAGACAGTCATGTACATGGTCTCCTGCAGCAGCCTAAACTTCATCTGAACCTGTATCAGCCAGTCAATTAGGATGGCTCTCATGTTTCCAGTGATTTCACGGCCCATCAGGTATTTTGGTCTGACTGACTGTTCTTCCTCCAGTTGTCTGAGATAGGCATATATGTCTTTCACATATTCACTGCAGAGGTTTGGATCCGCTCCATCATCTGCATCCACATCACTCACGGCAAGGATTACATCAGAGAAAGCCTGACACAGATATTCTTCTGCAGGGGCACATCCAGATGTTTCCATTGGGCTTGGAGAGGGGTTATCAACCAAAATAGGTTCAGGAGAAAGCTTTCCTTCCATAACAGGTTCAGGCTCGGGCTCGGGCTCAGGCTCGGCAAGTTCCACTTCTGGCTCACTCACAGGCACCTTCTCCAGAAGTTTTGGTGGGATTTTAGCTGAAACCTTTCCAGTAACTGAAGTTTTTAGTTCCTTTTTCAGAGGCACTCTTGCCTGTACCTGTTCGCTGACTTTGTTACCAATATCTCCGAGCGCAGTTCTTGGTCTCAGCCCGGGCTTGGAGGCCGCAGCAATGGCCACAGGCACACGCTTGGCGCCTGCCATGCTGACCTTGGCCTTATTTTCTGTGTTAATTTTCGTGTTCCTAGTGACCCTGAGCGCCATGGCTCCTCCCGAAGAAGAGGCTCGGCGATCAGAAGCAAAGACCCCGGCCTCCGGGTGGCCACGGGCAGACACCAACAGCCGTTCCTCCGCAGCACGCCCCTAACTATACTTTTTTCACAAAAGGAGTCAGTGTGCTAACATATCATGGACTTCCGATGGTGACTTCAAATGAGTAAGTATTTAATTCTCAGTTTCAATATTTACCATGCTAAGTATCAGAACCTATGGCCCACAGAAACATAAGCACAGCATAATGTTTAAATTTTTTGTGAGTATAAAGTAGTTCTGTGTCAAAGATAAATTTGAGAATCACTTAAGTGGGGGAAAGGAATTATTTATTTCTCACTATCTATAAATGTTACAAAGAGGATTATCTACAAAACACAAATCTTTTTGATGCTTTTTCTGTGAAAAAGCATCTCTTTCCATCTCTCAACCCCTGCAGCGCAACTGTCCAGCAAGAGTGGAAGGCAGCTTCAAAGTACCCAGGCGTCTCTGGGGGAGCCAGCTACCAGTCAGCTTGCTTCCAGCACTCTGACATCTTAGAGGCCAGTGCGCCCAGGATGAGGGTCAGTGCTCTCAGGTCCTCTTGTGTCCTTCTCTAACTCAACAGGTAGCATAAAAGCCTTCTACAACAGGTATTTTATTTCCCAGAACACAATGGCCTCTGAAAACGGCTTTTGAAAAAGATTCCTGAGCAATACACATGTGCATCCAGAGTGAGCATATCATCCACTAATGGGGCAGAAAAAAAAAATGTAAATAGCCCAACAAAGTAAAATATTACCCAAAAGTAGGGGTTTGGTTTGGTTTGGTTTTTTGGGTTTTTTTGTTTTGTTTTATTTTTGTTTTTTTGTTTTTTTGGCTACTTCATAAAGATTTCAACTCATAAAAATTGTTTTTAATTTACTTTGTTTTGTCTTTAGAGACAAAGTCTCATAAAGCCCCAAGGCAACCTTGACCTCACTAAGTAGCCAAGGCTGGCCTTCGTCTCTTCTTGATCCCCCTGCCTCAGCTTTCAAAGTGCTGGGATTACAGGTACGTCCCATCATGCCAGCTATGGTTTCCTTTTTAAAATAGAAGAGTTAGCTTCAAAAGTACAGAAGAGCTCAATGCATTCTTCCAGATGGAGTTCTGGATACTGTAACCAAAGGCTAGATGAGGTTACAGTTGATAAGTAAATACCGAACTCCTCGAATTTCTCTCTCTTGCTGATCAGACAGATCGTGAGTCACAAGCTCAGAGCCACGACTTGACTGTGTGTAATCAGATACTTATGAAGTTGTCCATAATTTTCTTCCTAACAACAACATTGTTTGTTCCTAAACTTTGGCAAACCTGTGCTGTCTAAATTCATTTCAGATCAACTACTATGCACTTTAGAGATAAAGACCATGTTATGTGCACCAAAAATGATCACTTACACAAAAGTGAGAAAAAAAAAAATGCCTGCTTTCCACAAATAGCTCCGGCCTGTAGAAATGACAGGTGGCTTCTCTTCACTGCACCCTTGTTAACAGTAGGTGGACACTCTCCACTGCACCCTTGTTAACAGTAGGTGGACACTCTCCACTGCACCCTTGTTAACAGTAGGTGGACACTCTCCACTGCACCCTTGTTAACAGTAGGTAGACACTCTCCACTGTACCCTTGTTAACAGTAGGTGGACACTCTCCACTGCACCCTTGTTAACAGCAGGTGGACACTCTCCACTGCACCCTTGTTAACAGTAGGTGGCCACTCTTCACTGTTAAATGGCACAAACAGAAGTTACCAGGCTGGCATTTGCACAGCGCAGAGTTTATCTGATCAATTTTTAGTCAGATGTGTATCTTGTGTATCTGACGCCAAACAACCATTTTAGACACCTCTCTTTTCTATGTGGGTTCTATTACAACCAAGCAAAGCTGGGTTTGGTTGTAAATACTATGGGGGACATTCATCACTCAAACCAGCACAGGAGGAGAGGGTTAATTTGGGCTTGTGCTTTCAGGGAGCTTTCAGTCCGCTGTGGTGGGAGAGGCCTGACAGAAAAGCTCAGTCTTTGGTGGCAGGCACCTGTGGCAGAGACTGTTCACTTGGTGGCTGGCCAAGAATCAGAGAGTGTCTGGAACCAGGGCTGCTCTAACCTTCAAAGGCCTGCTCCTACTAACTTCCTTCCACCAGATAGGCCCTGCCTCCCAGAGTGCACAGCCTCCCAAAAGAGCATTACCAGATGGAGAGCAAGTGTTTAAAACATGAGCCTGTGATGCGGGATATTGGATTACACCGGGACACCGGAGACTGTTAATAAAGTTAACCTTGAATCAGGGGGTGGAGCCAGTGACTAGCTGACCAGAATTAGCCATAGAGAAGCCAGGAATATGGATGGAGAAGACACAGGAAGGAGTAGGGAGGGACTTAGAGATTGTACACTCTCTTCCATCAGGGAAGTGTGGAGAGGTCAGCTGGTCTCTCATCTGCCGCTTCTTTGATCTATCAGTTTTTCACACCCCAATATCTGATTCCTGAGTCTTTCCTGGTAATAGAACAACTTAAATAAACATAGCAAGCTAGAGGATGCTTGATGCAAACCACAGTATTGGTCCTTGGCTATATACAAAGAATATACCCAGGTTTGCCAATCAATCTTGTTACAGCCAACAGAAAAACTCCTTTGGTTAGTCTTAACTTAGAGATGTTCTATCAAGTGAAGTCAAAGAGATGTAAATACCTTGGAAAGGATTAAATACAATGGTAAGTTTGGCAAAGATTCCCAGCTTTTGTTTCTTTTTGATCCGTTCCAACTACTCTGAAATTAAATAAATTCTTCTCAAGTGTTTCTTCCACAAATTTAGAGAAGTGCTGAGCAGGAGCAAATGTTTTCTGGCCACTGATTCTGAGCAGGGGTCTAGCTCCCGCTGAAAGAGCCAGGGCACTCTGCAATCCTATCTGGACCTTCCAGAGCAAAGCTACACTGTTTGTTACTCCTCAGTACACCCTTCCCCACAGCCGACTCTTTTCTCTTATGAACATCTATTTCCTTACGTTTTGTTGTTTCATAGTAAGTTGTTTCCACCAAATTTCCTGTGCGCTTATTTTCAAAGTGGCTTAAACCTCAATGTTGCCCTGTATGTCATTTAAGACAGTGTCTGGTGATTGCCAAATATACCGTATCTGGTGGCCCTCACCTGAAACTACAAGAAGAAAAAGATAATTCCAAAGAGAATAATTCATGCAGACCAGTACAAAATCTGAGCTGAACTGCAATGTCTACTTTTTGGGTTTGGTTTTGTTTTATTAGAGTACTTCCATGTCAAAGTTTAGATTAAGTTTGGGGCTATATCCCTCTTCTGCCCCAGGTTCACAGTAAACATTTTCACTTAGGATAGAACTTCTAGACTTTATAGAACCTTTTCCATCATGAGGCAAAAAAAAAAAAAGAATGTGCCAGATCCAATTCTCTAAACACATTATTCAAAAGAAGGAAGCATTTCCAAAGTTCTGAAAATGTCACATTTGAAGACATGCTCCCAAAAAGAACAAGGTCCATGAGGTTCACAGAATGAGCTTCAGGCAGCAGAGGTCAGTTTGGAAGTTGATTCCTTTGACTTCTGCATAATTTCCACAGTGATTGTTGGTATGCTAGCATTTTTATCTTAGACAATGGCAGGGAATTAAGAAACATGGATGTAGTTGCTTGAATATATCTTGTCTCTGCCTCCACTTCATTAGGATTACAGGCATGCATCACTGTACCCAGCTTTCATGCGGTGCATGCTGGCGATCAGGTCCTCGCCTGTCAGTGGTGGTGCACGCCTTATTTAATTCCAGCACTCGGGAGGCAGAGGCAGGTGGATCTCTGAGTTCGAGGCCAGCCTGGTTACAGAGTGAGTTCCAGGACAGCCAGGGAAACCCAGAGAAGCAAACAAACAAAAACCACTCAGGTCCTCATGCTTGCCTGGCAAGCACTTTACCAGGGGAGCCATCTCCGTAGTCCCTTCACTTATTCCTAACTAAGTGCAAGAACATGTCAAGAAGGCAACAACTAGGTACACAAATTGTGTTCAAAGCAAACTCAAGCAGACGAACTTGCTTTAGAAAGAGCTATATGGGGCTGGAGAGATGGTTCAGCAGTTAAGAGCACTTGTTGCTCTTGTAGAGGACCCAGGTTTGATTCCTAGCACCCACATGGTGGCTCACAACCAACCATAACTCCAGATCCAGGGGCTCTGATGTCCCCCTTTGACCTTCTCCAGCACACACATAAATGCAGGCCAAACACTCACAAATAAAATAAATGAATAAATCTAATTTTAAAACTATATGAAACCAGGGATACCATTCAACAGAAGTTCTCTGAAGAAACGTCCATGTCTATCATAATATTTACCAAATGATCAATAATAAGAATGTGCCAGATCTGCCAGGCAGTGGTGGCGCACGCCTTTAATCCCAGCACTCGGGAGGCAGAGCCAGGCGGATCTCTGTGAGTTCAAGGCCAGCCTGGTCTACAAATCGAGTTCCAGGAAAGGCACAAAGCTACACAGAGAAACCCTGTCTCAAAACACCAAAAAAGAATGTGCCAGATCCAATTCTCTATATACATTATCAGAATTCAAGAGTGAACACCCCATGTGAAAAACTTAGGCCAACAACAGATGTGGGAGAAACAGTATTTTATCACTAGCATTTTCTAGAACTCCCAAAATAATAATTAAAATTTGATAGCAAAGCAAAACAGGGCAATCTACACCCACTTACTACATGTACTTGGGTAAACAGCTCTCATAGCTCCCTGAGGAAGCCACTGACAGTGGCCTTTTGTAAATCTGTAACTAAGCTTTTGACAGGGAGAAGGATGAAGGAAGGTGGACTGGCTTAAACATTATGTCCCCAAAATTCAGGTCTACCCCAAACCACAAAAATGTGACCTTATTTGGAAATAATGCTTTAAAGATATCAATCATTGAGTTCGAATGAGGTCACACCAAGCTCTAGCCCAACGGATGGCATCTGTTTAAAGAAGGTAGGCATGGTGACTCATGCCTGTGACCCCAGCATTTGGGAGGCAGAGACAGGGAAAAATGATGTAAAGTTTCAGAAGGTGGAAGGGTGGGCTATGTGGTGAAGGAGACAGAAGCTGGAGTCTGGCATCTACAAGGCAAGGAAAGGGCAGGGTTGCTGCCAGCAAGGAGGAAGAGGCAAGGAAGGGCCTTGCACAGGTCTGTAGGGCAGCCTGGCTTTAGATGCACGTGGTCTGCACTTCAGAGTCTGCTGCTGAGAGAGAACACACTCTCACTGTTTCCAGCAACCCACTTGGTTCGAATTTGCTCCGACACCACTGGGGAAATTAACCCAGACATAAACACTGCACAGCCTCAGGGAACTCTCTGGATGGAAACACACTTTGATTATTCTGAATTTCACCCCTGTCTGGCTTGGAGCTAGTGAGGTCTTCAGAGAGCTCTGGGTAACACTCAGAAAGAAAAAGCAAGAACTCCATGGCTGTCATGTTCTCTTTCTGCCCTAGGAAACTGCAAAGATGGAAATGGGGATTTAAACATCAAAGAAAGGAGTGAAGTGTATTTTAAATTTAAAAACTGAGGAAATCCCCCATTGCTTTTCTAATTAGAACGGCTATTGGCAATCTTCTCCTTCTGGCTTTGGGGTATGAGATACAAGTTCTAATTGACTGCTTACATTGTTTTATCACCTTCTGACAATAATTTAACTGAATAATCTTGACATCAGAGACAATATAAATAGACTTCTGTTGCTTTCAGCAAAGTCAGTTACCTTCCATGGAGAGTGCTGGGAGATAAGATACGCTAGAGGGAGATGGCGGCTAAGTGACTTTCTATCCAAAAACGCAAACTATGATTATCATTCAAAACTGTTTTTTGGGTCAGTAAGTGAGATGTCTTAGCAGATAAAGGCTCCGACTGCACACTCCTGATGGCCCCCTTTGGCTTCCCAGGACCCACGTGGTGGAAGGAGAGAACCACCTCCACGACACTGACCCTTGACCACCAGGTAGGAGCTGAAGTAAACCGCTCCTTCTCTCCGGTGCTTCACTCACAGCGACGCAGAAGTAACTAGCACACTATAGACACCAACCACTGGGCAAACTCTGGTTCCTAGCACATCAATGCAAACACTGATTTGCTCAGAGGCCCACATGTGGACCATAGCCTAACCCACAGCGGGCCACCATTACAAACTGGTGAAGTCAGACATGTCAGCGTTAGTGGTTGCCACAGCCACTGCCTTGACGGCCATCATTGCTGGAACCCTTGCAGTTCGGTTTCCACTCTGATCAAGGCAGCCAGCGGCCTCCTCACTACCAAACCCACGGGACCCTTCAGTGTCTTTCTATCATGACATCTTTGCAGTGGCTGATGCTTGTGAGCGCGGCCTGCTCCCTGAACATTCTCCCTCTAGCTCCGCACCTCTCCACACAAACCGGGTGACTCTCTACCTCTGACCATTCCTTCTTAGTTTTCTCTACAGACTGTTCTCTTGCCACATCCTTATTTTAATTCCTCAGGGTTCAGCCCTCTTTGTGCCCTTCCTGAGGTGGTTCATCCCCTGCCAAAGCTACAATTATCTGCATTCTGCCAATTTACACATCCGTATCCCTAATCCAGTTCAAATCCTTATTTTGTTTTGTTTCGATGTTTTCTTTAGAGATGGGGTCTTACTAGATAGTCCAGGCTGGCCTCAAACTCTGACCCCTTACCTCACTCTCCCAAGTGCTAGGATTAAAGGCATGTACTACCATGCCTGGCTCGCCTCCAGAGTTCTCTATTTCTCTAGCGGACTCATCAACTGTCATGACAAGTGCTGGTTTAATGAAGTCACCTCCCAGCTGAATTATTAGTCTTATTAAGTTCTCAAAGAAATAAATGCAATGCCTTATCCCAGTTTTATCAGGAGCATAGCAGTCAAAGCACAAGAGGACCCCAAGAGGTAACTGAACGAATAAGCACCAACAATCATGATCTCCACAGAAGCCACACAGGGAGACAGTACACTCCACACCTACACAGGAATGCAGGTACAGGCCGACACATCTTCATCCCCTTCAGTGCTCAAAGGCTGACATCTTCATTCAGAGTGAACAATGGTACAACCAATATAAGCCTACATGAAAAGGAACGACGTACCACAAATACAAGCCCTACTTTTTTCTCTATAGTAAGCTTGAACAACTCATTATTTTTCACATTTTATGAAGACAACACACAATAAATCATTATGTGGAAGGATGCACTTCCCCGGCCAAGAGAATGAGAAAAGAAGTCCAAGAATCGTGCTCAAACATGCTATGCATGTGTGCACACACTCACATTCATACTGTCTCAGAAATATGTAGCACACTTAAACAAAAGAAAAATTCAAATGAACTGTATAATGGTATATCCTATGCTCAGGATGCCATCTGAGCCCAAGGAGAGGTGATGCCCATTGTGAGAGATGGCACCACAGGGCAACCTCCGTCATCTGTAGATACTTAAGGTTGATGTCAGGGGAAGGAAAACTCTAGGTATGGATTATTGTCACTGCTATTTAGATACTGTGGCTGTGATAGGCTAGATCCAAGTTACATCATTCCAACTGCCCCCATTTTAACACAAGGGTATGGCACTTACAGGGTTGAGTAAACCCATATAACTAATAAGTAAGAGCGTGCAGTTCTTTGCATTTCTAAGTGCTATACCCCAAAGTGGAAAGGAGGGATAAGTTAGAGAGTCTCAGTAGAAGCATGTGAGCTTGGAAAATGAAGATAATTGGCTAAAGAGGTAAGTATAAGTTAGTGTTGCTGTTGTTGCTCCGTGGATTAGGAGTAAGAAGAAAAAGGGTTAGGCCAGGTTCCTTCTTATCATGTGATCCTTCTAATGGTATTTACACTTTAAAATTATACATATGTGTTACTTAGATGTAAGGCAAGAGCACACTGGAGAAGACCGAGGATGTGACATACGGAGAGAGACAGTCTGAATTCCGATCCCAGCTTAAATCCCAGCACCAAGAAAGAAAGAAAACAAGGAAAAGAGTGTGAAACATGGAAGACTATGGCCAAACAAGAAATCTGATCCATTTAGGAAGCCACAGCGATACACCTTTGAATGCTATTACTCTGGGGGGTAGAACTGTAAATTTTACTAATTTCTTCTTTTCTTTCAAATCTCAGTATTGCTATTTTATTAAGACATAACTTCCTTTTCACAAAATAGTGTACTTACTTACCATGGCTGACTTTTTAATATTTAGGCTTTCATCCAGCACAAAGAGAACTGTCATGCTGTATCCAGTCTGGTTTCCATGTCCATGAGGCCACCAGGTCTCCACAGCAACCTCCTTTTAAGAAATAACTCATTCTAAGTGATATTAAACATTTTTATAAAAAATAGTACGACTCATCATGTTACATGAATTTCTCAATAATGAAGCATAAACTGTGTCCTAAAGCAGCATAAATTTCCATGCCTACTCTCTGCCAAAGTCTAGCCACAGAATAACTATTTTAAAACTTTGTACTTTTATTTGTTTGCTTATCTTGAGTCAGGGTCTCCTGAGTCCAAGTTGGCTCCAAACTCTCTGTGTAGCAGAGGAGGACCGTGAACTTCTGATCCTCCTGCCTCCACCTCCAGAATCCTAGGATTACAGTTTATGTGGTACTGGGGATCAAACTCAGGACTTCACACATACCAGGGAAGGAGTCTACCGACTGAACTATATTCCCTGCCCCTCCACTGAGAATATCTAAACAATCAGCATGTTGGGAGCATGGCGCAGATTACTAGACTAGAGCATCTCTGTGTTCAAGAAACAGCTGTTCCCGGCCCTACCGCTCCAAAGCGTGTTTACTCTACAGTCTCAACACCTAGAATTGGACTTAGAAGCTGACTCTTCAACGCCCAGGACTGAAGCTCTTGTTTCTTCCAAGTTGTTGTTACTCTGCTCTGTCTTCGCCTGTTCACAATCATCAACCAGATTAATAGGAAAAAAAAAAAAAACCAGAAGCTAAAACCTACCCCATCTAAACATGAACAAACCTTGAGTCCAAGTTTAGAGTGCTACAGGGGGAATAAACACCAATATTCAAAGCCAATGAAAATGAATGGAAAAGAACCACCACACTGAAACCAGAAATGTAAATTAAGGTTGTAACTGACTTCTTAGAATAAAAAATGACAAATTAATCACATATTTTTCTATTATATTAATCTTACATGTGAGAAACCATTCATTAGTTAACTTATAGAATATATGAGAAGTTAAAAATAAAGGCAAAAATGCTATGCGTGGTGATATACACCTGTACACCTGGAATCTCATCACTTAAGAGTTCCAAAGGCCAGAGGATGACTTCAAATTGGAGAGCAGTCTGAGCTACACATTGGGCTTTAGGCCAGCCTGGGCTACGATGCAAGACCCTATGTCAAACAAACAAACAAGAAAAGAAGCCAGCCTGGACTGCTTAGTGAGTTCCACTTTGTACCACAGTGTGCAATCTTGTCTCCAAAGAAAAAAATTCTAAATAAATGAAACTCCTAAAAATGAAAAAGTAGTAAGAAAATGATTAGAAAATACAAGGAGAAAGTAAATGCCCACCCCACTCTGCCATTTCCTCCCTTGGACAGCAAGGGCATTCATCCAGCATTTCCCCGGAAGTGACATCACTCACCTTGCTAATTTTCACCAGGAGTTTAACAACCCTTTGCCTCTGTTGGAGTTTAATGTTGTATTTCTGCTGTATTTTCAGTTTAGGGATGGCTACAGTCACCTCACCAACAACTGGCTTGGAGCTGACAACGTCAAAAGAAGCCTCGATTTCAATATTCCACTCTTGAGAAGTGTTATCTACAGCACAAAAGAAGAAAAGGACTCGTGCTAAGCACCAACCCTGTGTGCGACTGGACTCACTGGAAATAAGACAGGAGCAGCGGCCATGCAGTGAGTGCTCCACTGTGGCTATGCAGTGAGTGAGTGCTCCACTGTGGCTATGCAGTGAGTGAGTGCTCCACTGTGGCTATGCAGTGAGTGAGTGCTCCACTGTGGCCATGCAGTGAGTGCTCCACTGTGGCCATGCAGTGAGTGCTCCACTGTGGCCATGCAGTGAGTGCTCCACTGTGGCCGTGCAGTGAGTGCTCCACTGTGGCCATGCAGTGAGTGCTCCACTGTGGCCGTGCAGTGAGTGCTCCACTGTGGCTGTGCAGTGAGTGCTCCACTAGGGCTATGCAGTGAGTGCTCCACTAGGGCTAAGCAGTGAGGGCTCCACTGTGGCCATGCAGTAAGTGCTCCACTAGGGCTATGCAGTGAGTGCTCCACTAGGGCTAAGCAGTGAGTGCTCCACTGTGGCTGTGCAGTGAGTGCTCCACTGTGGCTATGCAGTGAATGCTCCACTGTGGCTATGCAGTGAGTGCTCCACTGTGGCTATGCAGTGAGTGCTCCACTGCGGCTATGCAGTGAGTGCTCCACTAGGGCTAAGCAGTGAGTGCTCCACTGTGGCTGTGCAGTGAGTGCTCCACTACGCTGCCACAGAAGAAAGCTAAGAGGAAACGTTCTTTTAATCTGCAGAGTGGAATCCTTTGTTCTATACAACCAGAACTGTGCATTTTATACAGACTTAGAGTAGCACAGGGAAAATTAAGCAACTGGAGTTCACAAAACCTTAAACAAGCAGTAATTTTATGATATTATCAGAATAGCGTATAATCCTTTCTAGTCATCATATGCAGTGGGACCTAGACATAGGAGGCTCATCTCTTCCAGAATCTAAAAGTTACCAGTTCCTAAATAAACCTTCGATCCTCAGCTCTCTTGTATGCAAGATACTTTTGAAAGTATTACTGGGAGGCAAGAACAGAAGAAAAGGGCTGCAGGTACCCCAGAATCCTGTCCTTCTCAGCCCAGCTAAGTCTGATGTCCTCTCCCTCACTCCCACACTCTAGGCCCAGACAAGAACTGAACTCTTAAGGGAACCCGTGGGTAGGCAAGGCTGGCCTACCCTGTCTGTGAGGCTCTCCTTGGCCTGCAGCCTCCATCCTCACACCCTGTGTCCAGGCAGAAGAAATTGCAACTTCTTTTGGTCCTGTGATCTCGACCCAGAAGACAATCCAGAGGACAGCAAAGACTGTGGTTCTAAACAATGACTCATTTCAGGGGTTTCCCAGGGCCAGCTCATGCACTCATGCAGGTTCTTGAAAGGAAGGAAGGAAAAGAGCAAAAGGAAAGAAATGGGAGGGGAAGGGAGGGGAGGGGAGACAAGGGGAGGGGAGGGAACAGAAGGGAAAGGTGGATGAGGTTTGTCTGGCCTGGACAGGAATCCATAGTAATGCCAAGCAGACATACCCCCATTCATTAAGGCTTCTCTAGCACGTGTGCAACACATTTGACTGAAAATCTCTAAAGAAAGCCTGAGGGTATGACTAAGTAGGAGAGTGCTTGCCTAGTGCATGTGAAGTCTTGGGTTTCATCTCCAGCCTAAGACAGTAAAGACTTCTCCATTGGTGAATTTCTTCACCCTCTGCGATTTGCTTCTTGAGTGCTGGGATTAAAGGCAGTGACCAGCCCACACCTTTAATCCCAGCATTTAGGAGGCAGAGGCAGTTGGATCTCTGTAAGTTTGAGGCCAGTCTGGTCTACAGAGTGAGTTCAAAGACAGCCAGGGCTACACAGAGAAACCCTGTCTCAAACAAACAAACAAACAAACAAACAACAATTCTCCAAAGAATTCCAGCTTTTCTATTATAACAGACTCCACTTCTTTATCTGGATGTGGCTGACAAAAGAAAAGGGGGAGAGGAGGGTTGGCTCAGCAGGTCAAGGCCACTGCCACACAACCTGAGGATCTGAGTTCCAGCCCCAGGCCCCACATGGTAGAAGGAGAGAATCGATTGACTCACGCATGCACACAAGCACACGAGTGTGCACACACATACATGAAATGAATAAATAAAATGTAATGTTTTCAAAAGGAAAGAAGCCTCTTTACTCAGCTGTCTAGAAGAAAAAAAAAAACAGTGTAAAAGAGAAATGGAGAACTGGGCATGGTGGTGCACACATGTAATCCCAGCACTTGGGAAGTAGAGGCAGGAATTCCTGGAGTTCGAGGTCACCTTCTGCTACACAGTGGGTAAAAGAGCCTTCTGAGCTACACGACACCCTGTCTGAAAAGACGTACAAAACATAAAGGAGAGAGAAGTCAAGTTGGTTGAGCTCATTAAGTCTTGCAATATGTTCCTGGAAGACGTGCTTTCAAACTGTATCTTATGGGGCTGAAGAGATGGCTCAGAGGTTAAGATTGCTTGCTGCTCTTCTAGAGGACCAGAATGATATTCCCAGCATACATGTCAGACAGTTCACAACTAACTGTAACTCCAGCTCCAGGAGATCCTACGCCCTCTCCTGGCCTTCGTGGGTACTTGCATTCCGGGCACATACCCACATACAGACACATACAATAAATACTTAAAAAAATGCCATACCCTAAGCCTTGCTTTAGCTTGTGCCTACACTAATAAAGTCTCAGGCATCGATGTCTCCATCCACCATATGGTATCTGGCTTCAAGAGAAACTGAGTTTTTCCACAACTCTTACAAGGTGGAAATGAGACGTCTGATTTGAGAACAAAAGGAAAGAACCATGGGACATTAGAGGCAGAAGGACCTTGGATGTCTCCTAGCCACTCAGGCAGTTTCTGAGACCCTACCGGTAGCCCTCCCTGATAGCCGCCAAAGCCAGCAGACAGGGAGAGGCCCTGGGTTTCCTGACTTGCTCTCACAGCTTCCCACTGCACGGCTAGGGAGGTGCCTAGCAAACAGAATGGCACTGGGGACATGAATTCGTACACGACCAATGAGGAACAGCACAAGAACTTTCCATCTTTCATAGTGCAAGTCCAAATATCAGCTATGTTCAATGTGAAACTGTTGTGAGGGAAGCCCACCAGAAACCAGCACACGGTCACTCTTAAAGATGAAAATTAAGTCTTTATTGCCAGTCAGAGGCTGACAGGAAATTTGCCCAAATCATGCAGCCCTGAGCCATATAGCCCTTTGTCTTTTATACACAAAAACCATATCCGAGTTATTACACGCAGTTAGCAGGAAACAGAACTACAGAAGCCCAAAAGCAAGGTTAGTCATTTAAGGACTGCCCTGGACCATAGACTAGGTCTTTGGTGGATTTGGTCTTTGTTCCCATTCTGGTAGGTGCTAGGACCCATAGGCTGGGTTTTAAGGTCAGAATTGTGCTTCTAACATGATGTCAGTTGTGCTAAGGTCGGGGGCCCTGTTAAAAAGCAAAGCATTTGGGACGAAGCAGAACATTGAGTCTGTATATCTCAAGGCTTAAGAGATAGATGGCTTAGCAGTTAAGAGCACCAGCTGCACTTCCAGGGAACCTGGGTTTGTTTCCCAGCATCCACTTGGTAACTAACAACCACCTGTAACTCCAGTTCCAGGGCATCCAGTACCTTCTTCTGAACTCAAGCACCTGGCACACATGTTGTACACATACATACATGCAAGCTAAACACTCACACATGTAAAATAAAAAATAACTGAATCATTTTTGTAAATGTTGTCCTGAAAATAAGAGGAGCTCGGAAGGGAGACCCCTGAATCCCATGGAGAGTATGTTGGACCCTACACTGTGATGACATGGTGCCATGCACAGTCCCTCCACTCCTCCAACACCATCTTTGTGCCCAAGCTACCTGAGAAGGGCAGGATAACAGTCCTGTGAGCATCTTGGAAAAACAAGTGAAAGACTTTTCCTGAATGATTACTGCCTGAAACTCCGGACAGGTCTACACACTCTAGCCAACATGCTTCTCTAACTCTAACAGTGTACCTGGAGAAACGTCCCAGTTAAGAATGCCAAACAGGCTGGTGAGATGGCTCAGTGGTTAAGTGTCCTGAGTGTTCTTGCAGAGGATTGAGTTTGGGTCCCAGCACTCATATCAGGTGACTCATAATTCCTCTAGTTCCAGTTCTAGGAGACTGGACACCCTCTAACTTTCAAGGGCACTTGCACATACATGATGCACATAAACTCATGCAAATACACACATATGCACTTTTTTTTAATTTTAAAAACAAAAACAGACAAGCATGGAGGCATGGGCCTTTAATCCCAGCACTCAGGAGGCAGAGGCAGGTGGATCTCTGAGTTCATGACCAGCGGTCCACATAATGAGTTCAAGGCCAGCCTGGTCTACGTGGTGAGTGAGTATCAGAAGGGCTGCCGTGATGATTCAGCGGGCAAAGTGCTCGCCACCCGGGTGTGAGGACCTGAGTTTGAATTCCCTGAATCTTGTAAAGCTGGGTACTCTAGCACACATCTGTAACCTCCAGTGAGACTGGAAGTGAAGACAGAAGACTCCTCAGCAGCTCGTGGCTAGATATCCCGACATACTCCACAGCGGTCGGAAGTAGAACGGAAGACGATGGCCGACACCCAGCGCTGTCTTCTGACCTCCAAGTCTGCGCTCCGGTGAGAGAGGGAGGAGGCCAGACAGTACCCAGGGCGTAAGGACAAACAGAAGCCAGGAGGCACGGGCTGGCCTGCAATGGGTGATCATGGCTGGTGCTAAGAGGAGGGGATTTTATCGCACTGGCAGAGAAGGCTGTTGAGAGGCGGCTGCCTTGATTGACTTTCCCCTGCTGAGTCCCTCACTGGCTCCCTGCCACGCTCTGCCCTCCTGAGCCTTTATTAGAAAATGAGAGGCTAGAGGGGAAAGCGGTCCTGTGCGTCTGAAGAAGGCATGACCACACCGCTCTGCAATCTCTGGATCACGGGCTGTGTAAATTCCGACACCACTCTGAAGCCCCCACACCATGGAATGTGTAAACTCAGGCACCACACATTTTCCCAGACTCACATGAGAACGGCAGGACAGATTCAAGCAGCTATTTTTCAGGGAAGCTGCCGACTGCACTGGCCAGAAAGGCAGGCTCCTGGCTGATTAACACAGCCCTGCCCCCTGCTTCACCAATGGACAGAGCTCCTTGCCTATTTAGAGGAAATCCTGAACTGAAACAGAACCGAAAGCAAAACCCCCGAAGGCAAAATCCACCCAAAATAAGGGCAAGCCAGCGAGAATGTGGCATACTTTAGGGACCAGTCAGCTGGCAAGACTCAGGCGGCCTCCTGTGGATGAAGCTATTTTAAAGGAAGACAATAGCATTTTCAGGGGAAAGTAATTCAGAAATGAAGAAGAAAGAGAATCCAAAGGAACAGAGAATGCCAATGACTGCCTGCCAACCAGACGCTCAGCAGGACTGACACATTCTTGCCATGGTTTTGCATTATATTTTCCAAAGGAAGCCGGAGTAAAGAGCAGCTGGACACTTCAGCACAGGGTCCATCACAGGCCACAGTCTAGCTGGGAGGACAGCCCATTCCTCCACCTCACAGACAGCAGCGCGTCTAGAGTGAAGGAGGGGCGGAGGTAGCACCCACATGTGGGCAGGGCAAGAATGGAGCACCTCTGAGGTGGTGGACCAATCTTTAACACAACACAGTCACCAACAGCCCTGCTCAGCTCAGGAAGTCCAAAGGCAGGCTGCAGAGATGGTGGGTAAGAGCACCCGCTGTGTGAACATGAGGACCTGAGTTCAGGTCCTAGCACCGACATAAAAAGCTGAGTGTGACGGACACATACCTGTAACCCCAGTGCTGGGGGGGTGGGGGTGGAGACAGGAGGATGGCTGGGGCTTGTTGGGAGGCAGGGTGGAGACAGGAGGATGGCTGGGTGTGGTGGTATTGTGTTCCCCAAAATATTGTGCACCCTAATAAACTTATCTGGGGTCAGAGAACAGAACAGCCACTAGATATAGAGGCCAGAAAATGGTGGCATACACACCTTTAATCCTATCACTTGGGAGGCAGAGATCCATTTGGATCTCTGTGAGTTTAAAGCCACACTGGAAACAGCCAGGCATGGTGACTCACACCTTTAATCCCAGGAAGTGAGGCTTTAATCCCAGGAAGTGATGGCAGAAAGCAGAAAGGTATATAAGGCGTGAGGACCAGGAACTAGAGCTGGTTAAGCTTTTAGGTTTTTAGCAGCAGTCAGCTGAGACCTATCTGGATGAAGACTCAAAGGCTTCCAGTCCGAAGAAACAGGATCAGTTGAGGAATTGGCGAGGTGAGGAAGCTGTGGCTTGTTCTGTCTCTCTGATCTTCCAGCAATCACCCCAATACCAGGCTCTGGGTTTGATTTTATTAACAAGACTCTTTAAGATTCCTGCTACAGCTGGGGCTTGCTGGCTACCGCATAGCTAGAGTTTTATGGAGAGACCCTATCTCAAGGAAATTAGTGGAGATTGATAGACCGGGGGTCCCCTCTGGCCTCTGTATGCACACACACATACTCACATACCATATAGACACTCACATAAAAGACATTTAGAAAGAAACAAATACACAGCATAAATACAAAATTAAGAACGATTAAGTGTAGAAGCAAGGAAACTGGCCGTGGAAACGTGGCTCTGAGGAGAGCGCTGGAAGCCTAGCATGGGGTCGGAGTCGGTGATGGGGAAGGGTGGCCGGGGCAGGGGGATGTCTCAAGTGTGAGGCAGCCTGGGCTACAGAGTGAGCTCAAGCAAACCACCCAATCTTCCCTCCCTTTCTTCCCTTCCCTTCCTGTCATCCCCCCCCCCAAAACAAATCTCCTAACAGCTATCTACCGACAGACCTGGTTTATGCTGTAAATTCTCACGACAAACCATTTGTCTCAATTTCACACCAGATACTATTGTAGCGATCTATAAATTGGATATGCTGCATTATTTTAAGAAGTCCCTGAAAAAATATACTGATATCCCAAATTACAAACACAATTTTTATAATAAGAAGAAGACTTAAAAAAAAAAAAAAAAAAGAAGAAGAGACCACAATTCTTGGCTTACCGTATATTGTAGAAAATGTGAGGTAATTCAGATGACTAATATTATAGGCTTCAAGTCTGACATCTCTCCAGATTCCTTGAGAGGGGAAGGAAGGTCCCCAGTCCCAGCTGAAGGAACACTGCTCCTGCAAGTTCAAGGGAAGGAAAAGAGAGGCACACTCTGGTGACTTGAAAACTTAAGCATTAGAAAACTCTTTTCAAGAGGAGTGGCCAGTAAGAGCTAACTATAAGACACACGTGGGTGAAAATGTCATGACGCATGCTAAATGAAAAGGTTAGTAAAAAAGCAAAGATTCTGTCTCTAAAATATTATATACACACTCATTTATCAGTTTACTAATGAGGCCATAGCAAAAACCCCCGGGGCTGGACAGGGAGGACCTCTGTGCCTCTCTCTCGCCTTCCATCCCTCCCATCTCCTGATGTCCAGATTCCCTTACCCTAAACACCTCGGTTAACTGAATCACCTTAATAAGAGTGACTCCAAATACTTGAGTAGAGGGGGGGGGTTACAACTTCAACATTTAGTAAGTTTGGGGAACACAGTTCATCCCCTAACTAATGTGTGTGTTTCTGTGTGAGTCTGTGTGTATGTGTGTGTGTGTGTGTGTGTGTGCACCTGAGTGTGAGCACACACAGCTCACAAGTCTCTCTTCTGGCTCTTGTGCCCCCCTGTGCTCACCTCCCTTGCGCATGGGCTAGATTAAAGAGAACCACTTCCTGTGACTGGAATATAGCAGAGGTGATGTCATTTCCAAAATTAGACTGCGGAAGACTGGCCCTTCTGTTTTGGACCCGCTCCCATGCTCTCTCTGGGCCAAGAGGGAAGCCCGCTGCTGTGTCCTGGAGCAGCACAGTGGGGGGCCTGCACGAGAGATCTGGGAGCAAGATCTGAAGCCATGGTCAGCTCAGAACTCTCCTCAGCCCAGTCAGGCACAAGGTGATGGCCTGATTAAAAGCCTCTGAGCTATCGGTGCCCAGCCAAGCTGTATTCGGTTCCCAACTGACAGAACAAGAGTAGTTTAGGCTGAGAAATGCTGGTTTAGTTTGCTATACATGATTATTATTTGCTGTACTTATCATTATTATTATTATAACCAAAATATCAACCTAAGTGCCATAGTAAGTTTATCCAGAAGAAAATAAAATCTAGTTATAAATTACTTTACATTCATTCTTCAAGAGCCTATTATATCAGAGTAATGTTATTTTATTTTGCTTTTTGCTTTTCAAGTGGCACTATGGAGTCCAGGCGGGCCCTAGTCCTGTGCTCCTCCCAGATGGGCCTGTAAGAGCAGGGCTACAAGCCGTGGCCACCACCCCTGCAAATGCTTATTCTCTCTGAAGCGCTCCCAAGCACTGCTGGGCCTAACCACTGTACTCAATATAACAATGCGAAGAATGAGCAGCCTCATTGAAATTAAAGATATTACTAACACGTTTAAGAAAAACAAAACAAAACAAAACTAGCCTTGGCCCCTACCTCATTAAGTATGAACTCAACAGTCCTTGTTTAGGAATACCAAGGCAATCACTTCAGACTTGAGACTCTGACCCGGGTGGCTACCTGTCTGAGAGATCTAATCTTATCTGCCGGCTACCTGTCTGAGAGCCAGGACACTAAAAACTTCCAATTATGAAGTTACGAAGGTTCAGATTCAAACAACAGCAGGTAATTCTGTAAATATAACTTCCCAGGGGAGTGGAGGAAAGAGAGGATGATGGAATCCAAGGGAGAAGAAAGGGGAAAGGGAAGAGACTCCCTGGGGACAGAGTAGGGGGGCACAGCGGGTGGCGGGGGGTGGGGGGTGGAGGGGGACCTGCCAGGAACAGGCAGGTCCACGAGGTGAGCAGTGGGGCAGGGGGATCAACTAAGAACAAAGTGGAAAGCCACGCGGGTCTGAATGGCCATAATGAAACCCGTACTTCGTGTGCTAATCTAAAATTTTAAAAAAAAAGAAAGAAATCCTAACAAGCAGAAATTTTTCTTTTACTTCTTAAGAGAAAAAATATTCTCAAAATAATAAAATCTATGACACTATGAGCTCGGCTTTGAACTAAGGCCTAAAAGAAGCACCCTGAGCTTGGGAATTAAGGTATCTGTCCACAGAGGATCTGGCCAAACTGCTCTGGGTGAAGTTTTATTTCCTTCACTCTAGATTTAGGTCAGAGAAAGATAAATGTGTTTCTACTATAGAAGAAAAACAAGCAATAAGTGTGGCTGTCACTGCCCATCAAAGAAGCTTCTCTTTTCGACAGGCAGAGACCATTCCAGAAAACTACAAGTACTAAAATACAGAGAACAGCTGGTCATATGGTTGCCAGTCATAGGAAATACACGGACAGCACAGCTCCTGCCCCTGACGCCCAGGAACTGCTGAGGAAGCAGGGAACAAAGAGTGGAGGGTCTAGATGATCTCCAAGTCTGCTGGGGCCCTATACCCTAGAAATCTCGACACTGACAGTATGGCTGTCTGTACAAGACCTGAACAATGAAAAGACCATAGATGTGAAAGGGGACATTGTCACAGGGCCCCACCCCTAACAAAGAACAACTGGTCACAAGTGACTGCTGAGAAAGAAAGAGAGAGAGAGAATTCATCTTCCCCAGGAATAAGATCCCTAATTGGTCAAACACCACCAAGTGGTCAGCCCTGAAATCATGTACAAGCACTATCAAACAGAGTCAGCAGGTGGTATTTATATACTTATGCATTTATATAAACATACGTCGATAAGATCAAGGAAAAGGAGGCCATGGATTTTTAGGGGGAGGAAGGGCGAACATGGCAGGGGGTGGAGGGAGAGAACACATGAGGGGGAAATGATGTAATTATATTTCAATTAAAATAAACATATTAAGAAAAAAGGAAGCAGAGCAACTGGAGTTGCTTCCTAGCATCTACATCTGTCTAAACTTACCACTTAAGAATCAGATTTTCACATTTGGAATGAAAACCATCTTGAGGATCTTTATGGAACATTTGTAAAGGCATCGATAGGTTCAGACCTTCTGCTGGCCTTGGGGGGGGGGGGTGCTGGGTAATTTTATGTCAACTTGACACAAACTAGCGTCACCTGAGAGGAGGGAGCCCCAACTGAGAAAATGCCTCAGGAAGACTGGGCTGTACAGGCAAGCCTGTAGAGCATTTTCTTAATTATTATGATTAAGAAAAGTGATTATGTGGGAGGTCCCAGTCCATTGTGGGTGATCTCATCCCTGGGCTGGTGGTCCTCACGAGGAGCAAGTCAGTAAGCAGCGCCCCTCCACAGCCTCTGCATCAGCTCCTGCCTCCAGGTTCCTACCCTGCTTCAGTTCCTGCTCTCATTAGTTTTAAAGATGAACTGTTACATGGAACGGTGAGTGAAATAAACCCTTTTTTATCCCCAAGTTGCTTTTGGTCATAGTGTTTCATCGCAGCAAAAAATAACCCTAACTAAGACAGGGGAGGGCGGGGAGGAGGGGAGAACAAAATATTCAACATCCCAGCAAGCTTCAAATCACTTAATTCACTCAGCCACTCCCAACAGAATTTCCACTGACTCAGAAAGTATTTGGGACACACTGTGTCTCAGGCTGGGGTATTGTTAACACACAACACTGTAATGGGTCCTACTTGTGACGCTCACCCACCAGCAAGGGAAGTGGGTACCGAATAAGTGATGCCTGCATGGTGAACTTTATAAAGGAAATAGGGAGCTAGAAGCCGGGAGGCAGGGTCAAGGATCTACACAAGTTTCCTTTAAATAAATAAATAAAAAGAAAGAGAAAAAGGAAAGAAAGAAAGTTGGAAAAAAAAGAAAAGAAAACTTTTAAGCTAAGGATTTGGCTCAGTAGTGGAGTACTTGCCTAAGTCTGCACAAGACCCCGAGTTCCATCCCCAGGACAAAACAAAATAAAAACTTTTCTTGCAGGGCAGGTGTCTCTCTCCACCTTGAATTAGAGAAAGGGGCTGTGGGAGGACTCTGTCAAAGGAAGCGTGTGCACGCGTCAGCACGATGCCGTCCCAACCGGGGGAGGAGGGGTGAAGACAGCTAAGAGCTGGACAGACATCAGCCTGCCGCTGGTGCGGAGCTGTTGAAAGATGACACGATAAACAGCTTAAAAATATATAGCTAGCCTTATCAGCCCCTTCCTCGTTAAGTACGAACTCCGAGGTCCCTGTTTCTGTTCTAAATAAAGGATTGCCGGGGTCATTTTGCCTGAAAAAGCCATGCCAGCCAGCTGCTCCATGGATAACTAATTAAAGAGAGGCGGATGACGCTGTGGGAATGCCAGTCAGACAACCAGGGCCGCGGGCTGTGCAAGAAACGCCTGGACCCAGACTCAAAGACTAAAGGCTGTATTGGAAAGTGGTGGGAACTAGGATGTGGGGCTCGCTGGAGGGAACTGACCACGGACGGCGAGCCCTTGAGGGCAGTCCCTCAGTCACTCCCTCAGTCTCCCCCAGCCCCAGATGCCATGAGGTAAGCGGCTTTGCTCCACACTCCCTCCTACTCTACCTCAGTGTTCTCCCTCCCCACAGGTGCAGAGCCAGAGGGCAGAGACTGACCCCCCTGAAACCGAGAACCAAAAGAAATGCTCCCTGAGATTTGTTTATCTCAGTATGTTGCCATGGTGATTAAAAATGACTGACACAATGGCAAGAGGGGAGCTGACAGGATGGCAGACAGAGGAGGAAGTAGAAACAAGAGAGGCTTTCTGTGGACGAGTTGGAAGTAGAGGGTCAAACAGTTGACAAAGCAGAGTAACGTTTTCCCAGCCTCCGCCTCCCGAGTGCTGGGATTAAAGGTGTGCACCACCACCACCCAGCACGTTTTCCTTCTTAAAAACTAAATGGCTCTCAGAACTCTGGAAGCAGAAGCAGGAGGATCTCTGTGAGTTCAAAGCCAGCCTGTTCTATATAATGAGTTCTAGGCTATATAGTAAGACACTCTCTTAAAAAACAAAACAAACAACAAAATCTTAATGGTATATACAATTATAATACAATAACTACACATTTGTATAAATTTAAGTCCTGTAGAACAGACTAAATTTCAAAGAAAAAAAATCATCTATGGATTATACCTTTTCATTCTGTTTCGTAAGATACTAGCAGTAAAATACAAGAACATCTCAGAAAATATGTATCTTTTGAGCAGGTTGCTAGTCACAAGAATCACTAATAAGTTTTCACATCTGGTAATAAGTTTGATAAACATAAATGTTAAAAATAATTTATAGCCAGGCAGTGGTGGCGCACGCCTTTAATCCCAGCACTTGGGAGGCAGAGGCTGTGAGTTCGAGGCCAGCTTGGTCTACAAAGCTAGTTCCAGGAAAGGCGCAAAACTACACAGAGAAACCCTGTCTTGAAAAAACAAAAACAAAACAATAATAATTAATAAATAAATAAATGAATAATTTATAGAGATGAGAATGTACCTAACTCTAGAATGTAGCCCTGAGCTAACTCTACGGCTCTGCCTAACATGCACAGAGGGTTCCCTCCTCAGTACCTCATAGAATCAGACATGGTTGTACACACTTGTAAACTTAGCACTCAGCAGAGAGAGCTGGGAGGATCAGAAGTTGGAGGTCATTCTTGGCTTCATAGCAAGTTTGAAACCTGCCGGAGCTAGATGAGTCCCTGCCCGAAATAAAAATATAATAATTTATAAAAGTTCAATTATAAGCCAGCCATGGTGGTTCATGCCAATAGTCCCAAGATGTGGGAGGCTGAAGCTGGAGTATTGCCTCTTTTAGCAACATAGTAAGTTCCAGGCCAACCTAGAATGCAGTATCAAGTTCAGTTATCCAGTTTGTGTGTGTGCGTGTGCGTATACCTAAATTCTGAAACATGCTTCAGGAAGAAAACCTAGAAGAATGAAGATTCACCACAAAAATTCAGAAAATCTTCAAGTCTGACTGAGGGATCAGGAGACTGAGAACCTTTGAGGTGCCCCTGAAAAGAATCAAGTTAAGTACTCACACACTTGCCGCAGAGCACATGCACTTGAAAGAGCAGTACCTTTCGGATAAAGTTGACATGACATTCACCGTTCTGCTCCTTCGGGGGGCAGTCTGGGGGCACCGAGTAGCGAGTGTGAGCTTTGCTCCGAAGCTCAGCATATTGCACGGCTGACTGGAACCGTAGCCTTAGGGAGTTCGTGTCTCTGACCATACCGGTGACGTCGAAGCTCTGAAGTAAAGAGAAAGAACACACAAACCCATGTGGAGGAAAACGTCTTGTGTATAAACATGTAGTTAAAGGCAGACTACATGAAAGACGCAGGTAGATCTAGACTCTCCTCATAAGCTTCTCTCTGCCATAGAATTTAGTGGCCTACCTTCAGTTATAACTCCAATCTCCTGTCCAAGTACAGGCTTCTAGGCTTCTCCTATTTTTACTGACAGAATTATGATCCCAGAGAAATATGCAGAGCAGAAAGTATCTTTAGCCCTGAAATGTCTGCTCTGGCTTGTGCACGCGGCCTTGAGCTGCCAGGGATTCCCGGACATTTTACGACAACCTGACTCTCTAGGATGCATAGTATGCATTTCTGAGTCATAAGCTATTTTTGTTTCCCAAAGCACACCCTTGAAACAGAAGGAAAATAAGAAGGATACAATTTCCGAAAGAATGTCTTTCAAAATTGTCTTTCAGTGGTCATTTCCCATGAAATGCCGGACCACCACACCACAGAGAAGTGAACAGTAAAGCGGAAGCTGTAATTTACTTCCTCAAGGCCTGCAGAACCGCCATGGAATTTGCATTGCCCCTATCACCCTACCAACAGGGCAGCTGAGAAAGACAGGAATTTACCCAGTGTTCCAAAGGCCTTGTACTTGGCCCAGGACCGATTATGTGACTAGCCTTCCCTGTTCACACCAGGAACACAAAAGGCACGCTCACTCCCTTTAATCTGTAATCTTCATGTACTTACATATCCAGTGAACATGTTGTTTGTCTTCCCAATAATGACATTGTTGAACAGGATTTCTGCAACTGTATCAACTCCTTCAAAAATCAACTTTACTTTCTGCCATTCACTAAAAAACAATTAAAGATCTTAAAAGCATGATGTATGAAACATTAATTTAAGTCTCTTTGTAATCAGTTAAGAACTAACAAACTAAATATTTTACAGGAAAATATACACCTTTAACTGGCAACTTCCATCAAATTTCAGGTGTGGGGGATGGCTATATCTGTAATTTCTTTGAGCAATCCAACTCATTTTTCTGCATGATGTGTCAAACCATTGTAATAAAAATCAAGAGCACAAATTATAATTTCAAAATGAGTTGATTTTCCTAGATACTTCAGAGTTCTTAGGTCACATAAAAAATATCTGTCAAAACCATTGCATTTGTTGACACGATCCAAGAGAACACATTAACCACCACCTTTTATCCATGAGTGAGAATTTTGTGTTCATTACTCTGCTCAGCCTTGTAAACAGACATTTCCTGTCCCGACTACCCAGTTCCAAATAACCAACTCAGAGGCTGAACATGAATTATAAATGCTCCACCAATAGCTCAGGCTTGTTACTAACTCTTACATTTAAATTAACCGATTTCTATGAGTCTATGTATTGCCATGTAGCTCATGGCTTTACCTGTCCTCTAGCAGCTCTTGCTTCCTTAGCAACTGCCTGGCATCTCTCCCACCATTCTCAGTTTGGCTTTCCTGCCTAACTTCCTGCCCAGTTACCAGCCTGTCAGCTTTTTATTAACCAATGAAAGTAATACATATTCATAGTGTAGAAAAGGATTGTTCCACAGCACAGTCTCACAGGCACAACCTGGGAGAGTTTTTGAAGAGTTCATAGTCTGGATGGCATTCAAGCCTAGTACTCAGGAATCAAACAGAAACTTTTTGATCTATTAGACAAGGACTATCAGAGGCTTATTGTGTAAGGAAGACTTCAAGAAGAAAATAAGAACTCAGCCTGGCGGTGGTGCCACACGCCTTTAATCCTAGCACTCAGGAGAAAGAGGCAGGTGAGTTCAAGTTTAGCCTGGTCTACAGAGTCAGTTCTAGGGCAGCCAGGGCTACACAGAGAAACCCTGTCTCAAAAAAACAAAACAAAACCAAAAAAAAGGAAAGGAAAGGAGGAAAGAAAATAAGAACTCAGAGAAGTTAAACAGAATGTGACATATCCAAACATTGGAATACTATTCAGCAATAAAAAGGAATTAGGTGATTATGAATGCTACAACACTAATGAACTTTGAAGCAATTATTATGTTTAGTAAAAGAAGCCCTTGTCTCTGAAGTACCAGATCAGATAAGTCTACAGAGAGGGAAAGTGAGTTAGTTACTGGTGGTCTAGCCTGGGACAGTGGATGGGAATGGAACTGACAGCAAATGGGTAATGGACTGTGGTTGGGTTTTTGTTTTGTTTTGTTTTGAGGGAGGTTTTTTGTTGTTGTTGTTTTGTTTTGAGACAGGGTTTCTCTGTGTAACCACTCTGGCTGTCCTGGAACTCACTTTGTAGACCAGGCTGACCTTGAACTCACAAAGATCTGTCTGCCTCTGCCTCCCGAGTGCTGGGATTAAAGGCATGTGCCACCACTGCCCGGCATGGTTATCTTAATTAGGGCTTCTATTGCTGTGGTGAAACACCATAACCAAAAGTTCCTTGAGGGGAAATGGATTGGTCTCAGCTTATAGTTCTCAGGTCACACTCCATCACCGAGGGAAACCAATGCAGGAACTCAAGACAGGAACTTGGAGGCAGGAACTGAAGCAGAAGCCATGGAGGAGTGCTGCTCACTGGCTTGCTCCTTGTGGCTTGTTCCGTCTGCTCTTTTATACAACTCATGAACACATGTCCAAGGGGTTATTACCCACAGTGCACTGAGTCCTCCCACATTAACTGTTAATTAAGAAAGTGCTCCCCCAGGTTTGCCTACAGGCCAGTCTTATGGAGGGATTTTCTCAATTGTGGTTCCCTCTTAGATAACTCCAGCTTGTGTCAAGTAGGGGGGAAAAAGGGACAGTGGTGGTGTCCGCAGAACTCTGCGAACACACTAAAAACCATTGACTTGTACTTTAAGTAAATTTCATGTTATATAGATCGGAGCTCAATTAAACTTTTCATAAAGATAAGTAGAAATGCCTAGAACCAGCCCACTGGACAAAGTCCTAAGAGCATCATTTCCTTTAAAGAGGAAGACTTTTTATTTGGACACACCCTGGAGCTGAGGAGCTGAGAATGAGAGAGACTGAACACGAGGTGGATCCACCGCAGAGCCAGAGGTGGCACAGGCCGCGCCACAGCCACCAGCAACTTTCACAGGGACACAGAGAAGGTGGGGCTTTATTTATGAAGCAAAGAAACAGACTTTCGATTCCTGAGGAAAAGCGTTTGGAGAAGAATGGAATGTTTCCTCACGTGATCAGAGACTGAAAGGCAAATGCCAGACACTGGATTCCGCAGCTTCTGGGCAAAGTGGGGAACAGGAGACTGAGGAGCGGCTCCGCTAAGAGAAGCGGCAGGGAAGCATTAACACACTTAGAAATAATGGAATGAACGTAAGGCAGTGGAGAAAAGAATGAGGAGGCAAAACCCCATCCCTGGGCACGAACTTCGGAGCGGTGCCTCAGCGTTACATGACGAAGGGCAATGCGGAGATGATGGTGTAAAGTTGTTTCAATAGGGGATGTCAGCTGCTGGTTTTGGAAGGCGTTACGTTCACAGGGAGATGGGACTTTGTTTTCCTTTTTTTTTTTTTTTTTTTTTTTTTGAGACAAAAATCTCAGGGAGCCCAGAGTGACTTGGAACTAACTATGCAATGAGAGACAGGATTCTTGTGAGAAATATTTTAAGCGTTATCTGAAAATAAAAGCATGACACACAGGAGCTCCATGATATTGATCATAATATTCTGGCTTGTTTTTCAGCTCTGGGCATTGAACTCTGGGCTTACACACACTAGACAAGCTCTCTACCTCAGTCTGTGGCTTTAGATTTTTAAAGAGATAACAAGTAATGACCAAAATGCCATATACAAGATAATTTTTAAAAATTAGTAATAATGGTGGCTTATATACTTGCTTACATTCTGCTTCACCTAGAAATATTTTCTCAAAATAACAGAACATTACTGAAAATAATATTTGTACTTTTCTTCATGGCCCCATGATGTAGTATAAGGTCAAGGTCCTAGTATCAATGGTTGTTTAGCACTACACAGAAAAAAAATGATGTATATCTGATCTTACTAACAATACTATAGAGCCAGGGACAGAATGTGATGTATAAGGCTCTGGATCCAACTACCACACACACACACACACACACACACACACACACACACACACACACACAGAGTTGTGGTGAGAGAGGCCATGGAGATACCTTAGTCAGTAAAGTAAAGCACTGGCCATGCAAACATAAGGATCTGAGTTCAATCCCCAGACCCACATAAAAGATGGGTGCAGCAGCACCTGCCTGTGATTACTGCACTGGGGAGGCCGAGACAGGAGGATTCTTGCAGCTCATTGGCCAGTCCAGCCAAACTGGAGAGCTCAAGATTCAGAGAGAGACCTTGTCTTAAAAAGCAAAGTGGAAAGTAATTGATTAAGTCACCTGGCATCTACCATTGGCCTCATACATATGCACATACACGTGCATGTTACACACACACACACACACATTAAAAAAAATTAACAAAATGACTGCCAATCAATATATTCTCCTAGTTACTGGGGAGGTAGAAAGGAGGAAATTTATATAAAAGAATTGACAGCCGGGCAGTGGTGGCGCACGCCTTTAATCCCAGCACTTGGGAGGCAGAGCCAGGCGGATCTCTGTGAGTTCGAGGCCAGCCTGGTCTCCAAAGCGAGTTCCAGGAAAAGGCGCAAAGCTACACAGAGAAACCCTGTCTCGAAAAACCAAAAAAAAAAAAAAAAAAAAAAAAAAGAATTGACAGAGTTTAAATGACTCCAGTATACCCACTGAAGAAATGATTCCCTCAGACACACTGTGGATCAGTGGCACCATCCTCACATAGAAACAAAACAGAAATTGTACAACCACTTCAATGACACAAAGATATAATCTGATTTAATTCTGACATACAACCTAAGCAGACAAACATAAAAGAAAATCTCTGGTAATAATATAATATATATACAATATATGATATAGAATATACAAACATATACACACCTGACATTAAAGGGGATTTTAAATTCTGTGCTGTAGGTCCAGTTATCTAAGGAAATCCATCTGTAGTGAAGGTCATTATATCTGTAGTATGGATCCTGTTGGTACAAGGTAAACATTAAGATCATTAATCTTAGATTTATGATTAAACATTAGATCACTAAATATGCCAAAAATGAATAGGTAACAAGCAAAAGCTATTGATTACCTAAAAATTAATGAACTCTTGGCCTAGGTAAGTCCGACCATAAACACTAAGAGTGGGGGATATAGCTCAGAATCTGAAGGCAGAGCCCAGTGGTGAAATGCTTGCCTGATGTATACAAGCCCCTGAGTGTGGTACCCAGTACTGTAAAACACCAAAAATGCGGGAGACTATCCAGCCATATATCTGAAATGAAAGAGCTCTGGAATACAAATAATATGTTAATTACCAGAGAACACGTCTGAGGATAGATACTGGCTCTCTTTGTATTGGTGGTATTTAATTTTATACGTGTGTGTGTGTGTGTGTGTGTGTGTGTGTGTGTGTGTGTGTGTGTGTTCATGCATGCACACATACATGGAGGTCAGAGGACACCATGGGAGAGTCAGTTCTCTACTTCCACCACGTGGGTTCCAAGGACTGAACTCAGCCATCAGGCTTGGCAGCAAGTACGTTCATCCACTGAACCGTCTCAATGGCCCTGATGCCTCCTTTACAACCAAACACAGAACCTCCCCAGTATTGACAGCAAATGAAAACCAGAAGCTATGCCTTCTCCCATGGCCCAGTTCTTTTTGGTCACTGTTGCCACTACCCCAGATGGCCTCCAGGGGGAGCACATCTCCTCTACTACCCAAAGTTTAGCAAAACTCCCATTCCGTGGAGTCTTTAAGCATTTCCAAATTACTTTTCCATGCTTTCCTGAGTGAGCACTGGAAGGGCCTGGGTGTAGTACACTCACTACCAAACTTACAAGATTCAGCTTTCCCGTCTCATGCACGTTAACAACCTGCAACCCATGGGTTTGCGTTTGTGTGGCAGCCAGACAAGGACCATAGGCTGATAACTAAAGGTGTGGAGATGGCTTGTTGCAAAGCATGAGGATCTCACTTTGATTCCTTAGCACCCCCATACAAGCTGAATGGGGGGGCTGGAGAGATAGCCCAGCAGTTAAGAGCACTTGTTGCTTTTCCAGAGGACTAGGATTTGATTCCCAGCACTCAAATGGCAGCTCACAACCATCTGTATGTAACTCCATTTCCAAGGGGTCCAATGCCCTCTTCTGGCCTCCCTGGGCACTGGGCACACATGTGGTGCATAGACATTCATATGGGCAAAACACTCATACATATAAGATAAAATTTTTAAATCTAAACATTTTTTAAAGGGCAATGAGTCAAGCTTTCCAGGGCTATAGACATACCAGATAGAATAGTCATAGCAACCCTGACTTTAATACAAAGAAAAAATACTTATAGAAATCTATTATCTAGCCAGGCGGTGGTGGCACACACCTTTAATCCCAGCACTTGGGAGGCAGAGGCAGGTGGATCTCTGTGAGTTCAAGGCCAGCTTGGTCTACAAAAGTGAGTTCCAGGACAGCCAGGACTGTTACACAGAGAAACCTTGGGGGGGGGGGGAGGAAAGAAGGAAGAAATCTATTATCTAGAACAATCAGTAATTAAAGCATTATTTTTCTTTTAAATCTAATCCACTGGGGCTGGTGAGATGGCTCGCAGTCAATAGTTCTTACTGCTCCTGCAGAGGACCCCAGCTTGGTTGCCAGCACTCACATCAGCTGGTTCACAACCACATGTGACTCCAGCTCCAGGAGACCCAATGCCCTCTTCTAGCCTCTTCAGGTTCTTGAACATAAGTAGTACACATAAACTCACATAAGTGCATGTGTATACACACACACACACACACACACACACACACACACACACACACACACACACACCACACACACACACACAAATAGATAAATACATAAAAATTTAAAATCTATGCTACTATCAGATCCCCTCAAATTGTTCTTTGTATCTCTCCACATAATATATAACAGTCCAAAGGGCCACACCTCAAGGGCAAGCTAGGAAGGATGACCTACTGAAACAAACATGTCCATGATTTTCCCGCATCTCACCCTTCCTAAAGTCATCGATTGGCATAATCATGTTATTCTTACTGAACCCCCATGAAACAGGGTTCCTGGCCAATTCCTATGACTGAAAACCCAATACCTCCTCTCCACCCAACAAATAAAATAGAAGAATCTTACAGTGCCTCTTAGGCAGGACTATGCCCATCATCAATATGAAAGTAGTGACAGAAGATGATTAATCATCACCCTTCTGCACCCCAAAAAGACTTTGGGATCCCAGCTCCCAGGTGGGGAGTAGGAACCGGAGAAAGTAGCATCAATAGCAACATGAAAGACACCAGTTTTGAAGAGATAGATAAAGCCATTCCTTACCCTGATGTCATCTAATAAGAGTATGGCCAGGCAGTGGTCATGCGTCTTTAATCTCAGCACTCAGGAGACAAGACAGGTGGATCTCTGTGAATTTCAGGCCAGCCTGATCTACAATGTGAGTTCCAGGACAGCCAGGGCTATACAGAGAAATCCTGTCTCAAAACCAAAAAAGAAAAAACAGAGTATGCACAAAATGTGTGTATCTGTGTGTGAGTGCACGTGTGTGTATGTGTACATGTGTGTGTGCACTCCCGTGTGTGAACAGGATGGAAAGAAGTGTCAACAGACCATATACCACATAGCCAGATGCATTGGTGCTCTTTATCCGTTCACCCACTTCCATTCTGTTCTTTGGAGTACCTTTTCCATTCTTAATAATCTATTTCGAACTTAAAAGACATGACATTTTCTTTATCTCTGCTAGTTGTCAAGAATTTCACCTATCCTGTACCAATTTTCTATTAAATTCGAATGTAATTTTTTTCTTAAGCTTCAAATAATAGTAAGGTGGAGAGTGATAGAAGAACACCTTGTATCAACACACAGGAACACACATAAACACATACACATGCATACACCACACACACAAAGAAAGCCTTAGTGAGCTTAAGCCACGTCCATGCTTTATGCATTATGCATGGCTGCTTCATGCTCCAGTGGCAGAGACCAAATGGTCCCCAAAGCCTGGTATGTTCAGATGTTTTACACATACATCTGCCACCCCCGGCCCTAGGTGAGTGACTACTCACGTGTTCACAGATTTTGTTCTATTTGAACATCCAGCCCCAAGTTCTCTCTTGCATCATCCCTAGGTCCTTCTTTCTTGCCCATTCCCCACCTTTCCTTCCTCAGAAGGGCTGTTCCTCAGGAAACAGGACCAACAGTAGTAGTAGGTGTGAACAGTGACTAGCAATTGGTGAGGCACACAGGTCACCCGTGAACATAACCATGGCTACAGAGAAGGAAGTTGGGGAGGCCTCTGCCAGGCAAGGTGCCTGGGCTACTGATAACTGTCAGCTTGACACAAACTTAGTCATCTCTAGGAAGGTGGAATTGTAAATGAGAAAATGCCTCCATCCAATTACCCTGTAGGTAAGGCTGTGGAGTACTGTAGTGGATAGCCATTCCAGCTTTTTTTTTTTTTTTTTTTTTTTTTTTTTTTTTTTTTTTTTTTTTGGTTTTTCGAGACAGGGTTTCTCTGTGTAGCTTTGCGCCTTTCCTGGAACTCACTTGGCAGCTCAGGCTGGCCTCGAACTCACAGAGATCCGCCTGGCTCTGCCTCCCGAGTGCTGGGATTAAAGGCGTGCACCACCACCGCCTGGCTCGCCATTCCAGCTTTGATCTGGAAGTTCCAAGCCCCATTGAGGCTTCGGTAACTGTCACGCCTACAAGATGGGGCCAAGAGAGAACCCTGAAGACCCGAGATCCGGATGCGCCGCCTCTCTTGGTTCCTGGACCCTGGACGCTGGAGGTAGACCGAGCAGAGTTCTCCAGAGAACACCACTGGGCTGTGACTGCGCTATGTTTTCCCCAGACCCTGCAACCTACCTATCCCTTCATTTGTAAGTTACATCACTAAATAAACCTCCCTTTTAACTATGTGGAGTGGCCTTAATAATTTCACCAATAGAGTACTGTCTTGATTAATGATTGATGTAGGATGGCCCAGTCCACTGTGGGTGATGCCATGCCTAGGAAGGTGGCCTTGCTTGTGTAAGAAATCAGACAGAGCAAGACACGAGGAGCAAACCAGTACGCGGCATTCCTCCAATGCATGTGCTTCAGTTCTTGCCTTAGCGTCACTCAGTGGATTGTAACCCGGGATGTGTGTGCTGAGTAGTTTTACACCACCTTGACACAAGCTAGAGTCATCTGAAAGGAGGGAACCTCAGCCAGGTGTGATGGCGTATGCCTTTAATCACAGTACTTGGGAGGAAGAAGCAGGTGGATCTCTGTGAGTTTGAGACCAGCCTGGTCTATATTAATCATTAGGACCCAGCAACACATAGTGATTTCCAGGATAGCAAGAGGTACATAGTGAGGCCCTGTCTCAAAAACAAACAAACAAACAAACAAACAAACAAAAACAAAGGGAACCTCAACTGAGAAAATGCCTGCATAAGATCAGGCTGTCGGCAAACCTGAAGAACATTTTCATAATTAGTGATTGATGGGGGAAGGCCTAGCCCATTGTGGGTGGGGGGGCACCCCTGAGCTGTTGATCCTAGGTTCTGCGAGAAAGCAGGCTGAGTAAGCCACAAGGAGCAAGCAAGCCAGTAAGCAGCACTCCTCCATGGCCTCTGCATCAGCTCTAGGCTCCAGGTTCCTGCCTTGTTTGAGTTCCTGTCCTGACTTCCTTTGATGATGATCTATAATGTGGAAGCATAATCCAGAAATAAGCCCCTTTCTCCCCAAGTTTCTTTGGTCATGGTGTTTCATCACAGCAGTAGAAACCTAACTAAGACAGGGCTGGGTATTATTTCCTCAGGGGCAGCATCTCTGGAGTAGAAGAAAAAGCCGGTGTCATCTAAGTTCCATTGAAATGAGAGCTGAATGACCATGCTTGACTGGTAGTGGCCATCTGGGCACTGTCCAGGGTTCCCACCCATAAAGAAGCACCATAGTATTCCCAG